GTATTGTATGGAACCGAAAACGTGTAGATTACTGAACATTATTTTAAAAATTCTAAAAATCCCAAGGATTTCATGTTTAGGTACTGGTAGAAAATGGGTCTCGGCGTGGGCCTTTCCTACGGTTCATTTGCATCCCGCCCAAAATCAAAAGTCAAACTGAAATATAACATTACTGATATGGAGAATCCCAATTTCCCTAGTAACTACGCAACCTAGCCTATATAAATGTACGTCCGTGTTAAAAGAAACAACAAACTGTTCTTCAGTTCTTTTCACTCCAAACCAGAGCCCGTGAGTACACCATGAGCGAAGCCGCGGAACTGTCAGTGATCCGGCGCCCCCCGCTCCCTACCGGCCGGCTCCCCGTGGCACTACACCGCCGTTACACTCACTACTACTCCACGGCGCCAATCGTGCCAAAGAGCACAAAAAACACAATTATGAATAATTCAGCGGATGGTAGAAATGCTGAAGCGGTCGGACAGCGAGCGGCATTCACTCCACTGGGGGGGCACACCCCGTGACGGAATCACCCCAGCACAGCCCTAACGAACACCTGCTGCAGGTTACGCCTCTCCAGTCATCGTACCCCTAACTCCCCCACCCCCCACACACACACACACACCTAGCACTGTGGCCGTTTCCACGAATCATAAAAGTGTTACGAGCACGAAAAGTGCGGGTGCTTCACACACAGAGCACAGTGGATCGATAGGAAACAGCTTTGTGGTCAATAATCAATTACCAGGGGAACATTTCCATTATGGGTGTCATTTCAAGCTGAGTCATGTTCGCAGACCATGGGAGTGACCGTACTGACCTGATCAGTTGCCTGACAGATACCTGCATTACTCTGGGAACAGTTACAGTGGTATTCCAGATCTTCCTGGGCAATGGCACATTCTCCTGCCCATACTATTTTATGTCACAATGTTACACTATTTTATGTCACGAAATAGCAAAATATCAGCTCTCTAATAAACTCTCACTTATGATATTAAATGAGATGAAAATGTTTCCATCAGTCCCTTTTTTCGTCCATGACAGAAAACTCTTCCCTCACAAACCCAAAAAGAAGGCAGCGCAGTATAAGTTGGCTGGGGGGGGGGATGGTTGAGTATAACGGGCCGTGGTTCCCTTATAATAAGACCCTAGCCAGCTGAAAATACACCCGCGTCAAAAGGACTGAACAAGAGCAGGAGAGGGAGAATAGAAACGATCAGACAGGTGAAAGGACAAAGAGTAAAAACTCACCCAAGAGAAGGTCACTGTAGGCTGTTAAGACGAAGACGTTGACGGAGCACAGAGTCCATAGAAAGGAAACCGGGAATGTTGGGAATAGCATGGTGTGACGCGCAGACACCTTCATCCGCCTGTCTCACCGAGTGTCCTCAGGCCGCTGATGGCGCACTCAAGGATAGTTAGGATAAACCGAGGTGGCACCTGAGCGCAGGGAACACAACACGCAGTTGCCACGCAATTATATTCGTGCCACACCATTATTCACAAACGGCGAAACAATTTAGATATCGCTGCTCTTGGGTTGCACTGCAGGTTGCATCGATCTATCCCTTGCCGATTCAATTTAGAATATGCTGGAGACGAATGTGATCGAAGTGCACAACTGCAACCGGTGCTGTAAACGAAGTAGCAGCGTTTTAAGCCCACGACGTTATAAAAAGCGAAGAGGAGGCAGAGACGCACCTGTCTGCCCTGTGAAGATCTACCGTGCGGCTTCACATGAGAAGCTGAGACACGCACAAACACTAAACGTGCAGACAAGCTGCCCCAATAATGCCACCGCGCCGCCGGTTCACCTCTCTATGCGCCTTTATAACAGCCCCGATGCTTTGCACTGAAGCGTCACATGCAGTGCGGTCCTAACTACGACCGGGGAGTCTGCTGGACGCTCATCGATGGATGGGGGACGGGGAAGAGGGAGGCGTAATTTATTGTTATTGTGATTATTGTTTTAGAGCCTTTGCTTTTAACGCGAATGCAATCGCCCCACTAAACCCTGATTATTATTCTCTTTAATATAAGCTGATTCCACGGATTATTAAGGACAAATAAACATACTTGTAATAACCCTGGATGTAAGACAAGCAGCAATCAGCGGCTGTCAATGTGTTTCCCGTTCACTAGCACTACACCTTCATCCCAGCGCTCAGGAGCGCATCAAACACCGAGACTGAGTTACACCCGCGGCAGTGCTAAAAAGGCAAGGCGCACGAAGTCGTGCAATTCAAAAATGCAGCAGCACCGGCGATGATGAAAGCGAAGAAGGACAGGGAGACAGGTACCGTTACACAAGTACAACAACATTAATAAATAATAATAATAACCATAATAATAATAATAGCAGCCAGAAGAATAACCTTAATCGCAAATACGCACGCGCCCAATCCCACTCCCGTCCCAGATAAACGTAATTGCATCGTGGGAAAGATTAAGACGGAGGATAGTGACACATTCCGGTACACGGACACCCCATATTTACAATACTGACAGGGATCTCCCCGGAGGAAAAACAAGTATGACGCCAACGTCAATAATATTCCGAATACGGCGAGGGTTTAGACGACACAGGGGGTACACACCGAAACGTTATCCCTCTGCAATCTCCTCCAGCTGAATTGCGTGGTGATGCTCGGGACGAAAAGAGACCGGATTGCGTTATCTCGCCCTTCGCCCCGCTGGATCAGACAGGCTGCTTTCTCCTGTCGCTCGGTCCTTCTTTTTCCTTGCTTTTACTTCCCTTATACCGCTAACGTTCACTGCAGCAAAAACAGACTGTCTGAAATAGACGAGGAGGGAGGGGGTGGTTTCTGGGGTGGAGGGGGGAGGGGAAGGGAGGGGAGGGGATTTTAATACGATTTGGTCTGTACCATTCCGTGGAAAGGGCAAGGCCACAGCCTGTAGATGGTTGGATGGTAGGAGGGTCCATTAGTGCGATAACCAACAATCATGTATATAATTGAACGGTCTGCTATTATGCATTTTTATTTTTTCGGCAAACATTATTATTTTGGTTCTGTCCCTATTGTTATTACGAGTACAATTGCTAGGTAGAGAACACGTGGGTTGGTTTGTTCATGAATAAAATTCAAGACTTTTCGATGCAAAGGGTCCTAGAAGTATTGAGCTAATTTATCGAATACATGTATTGGGAAATACAGGGTTAAACGGGAATCGAAACGCTGGCGCCAAATCAGCAGCTAAACGTTACAGGCAGGCTTTAGACCAAGTAAAAGATGCCCCCATTGGGTGAGTGCCTTACACTGCGACTTAATGTGATTTGGTAAGCAGAATGTATATTAGGGTTCACTGATTTTGGTGGGTTGCAAAATTAGTGTTTGTATATGACTGTGTGTATATAACTAATTTGTACATGGGATGCGCGCAGTTGATTGTGCTTGCACTTTAATTGCGAAATATCTAGGATTAATGAAGCCAAGTATTGAAATGGATGCGACTATAGTGCCATCTGGTGATTCATAAATGCTATTACAATACGGTCCACGACCGATCCAGTTCCCAAGAGCTACGAATTACGTCATTTAATGACGGAAAACGTTTCAGATTTTATTATCCTCGCACTTTTTAATTTTAAATGCAGCAGTGCAATGGAACCTGATTGATCTGGGAGAATGGGTCCCCACTTCCAGCCGATATGACGTCGTATTCTCGTTCTGATTATTCTCTTATGTCGGCTCCGAACGGCAATGACGAAGGATAAATGGTTGCATCCCATTAGTTAGAATCCTTTGTATGATCGTATATGCATGTGAATAAGAGATGAAGGAATACTTGACCCTTGTTATTTTCCTTGGGACTGTGAAAACACAACTTTGTTAGTCATCTACAGAATGAATTTTCTATATTTACTCCATCTAGATTAATCTAAATCGCTCACTATATATGCGTTTCTTAGTAGTAATAGTAGTAGTATTAATAATAATAATAATAATAATATGTATCCCATATGAACCTGATTTTAATTTAAATAAATTGTTATCAATCATAATGTAGATAATTCACTGAATTAAGAGTAACAGAAGAATTTATTATCACTGTGATTGTAAAGTATTTTGCTAATTTGGTAGTATTCACAGACAACCTAAAACATTAAGCGGGTTATGTGGTAATGAAATGAGAAAGGACAGCATTGGAATTTGTTTAGTCATACAAAAGAAAGCTTTCCACAGGCATACCAACAGCATCATCTCTGCCGGGACTCGAACCCGGAGCCTCTGGATTAGAAGTCCAGCGCGCTATTCCATTGCGCCACAGAGACTGAGCCGCTACTAAGTGGGAAAACCCGGTATAAATCCAAATATCCCTCTATAGTGCCTCGCAGCATTTAGTAGCGTCTAGCAGCATCAGGACCACTCGGGCGGCATTTTGGCTCTACCTCACTGTACACGTAGAGGGCGCTGGAACGCTAGCGCGGCTCAGAGCCAAAATGGCGACTGTAGTTTCTAATGCGCTTAATTCAAGAATATCTAACAGATTTTAAATCGGAACCACCCGACATACATATGTTTATACAAAATACATCTAGTATTCACTATTTCTGTCAGTCCACGGAGCACTTTATATTTTGCTTACGCTTAGTCAATTTATGCATTATCCCGGTCTGCTTTCGTTGGTGCACGAACAACTCCACCGTAAGTTGATTTTAGGTGTTTGTAACCGACTTTAACGCAAATTAGGGGAGGCGGGGGGACATATGGTGGGAATCGCAGTTTAAACACGCTGCAATTCCTGCGAGAAAAACGCTGAAACATGACGTCAGTTTCAGAAGGAAGTGTGGGACAGGAGAGCGGTGCGGTTAACAGCAGACCGCTGCCGAACGTCACTTTTCACCCAAGCCTTTAATTTAATACAAAGATGCGCATGGGGGGGGGGTTACATACACGTCATCACAGACCCACTTAAATCCTCAAACACTGAAACAAAAAGTTTTTCCAATAAACAGCACCACGTTCAGACAGATGTTAATATTTGTCATGTAGTTTTATTACAGTAGTCTTTGTTTCATAATTCACCCACAACCAGCATCAAGAATGAATATGTTATATTTTCTGCGACACAGGTTTTGTAATTTACCACTGATGGGTGATACCATTCTTAGGTTACCAGCATTGAAGTTTGTTTATTTTCCTTGAGTTTTGGGCAACTGTGTGTTTATACAGATTTTTATTAATATATTACAGGGGAGAAACCCATCCATTTCAGAACAAAACATCTTCCACCATCAGCAAGGCTCTCCCTTGATTCTTCATGGTGCATTCTGGGTATTCAGAGGGCTGCAAGGGCGGCGGATGAAAGGAGTGAGAGCAGGAGGACGGCATAGCCGGAGCGGTAGACCTCAGGGATCTTGAATCCCTTCCCCACATCCCACAGCTGAAAGGGAGGGGAAGAGATGTGGACGGAGACAAAGAGCGTGGAAAATAAGAGGGCACAGAGATAGCAGACAAAGAAAGACGTTATCGTCTCCCCGCATACATGCCACTGGGACACACCTACCAATCCATCAAAAAAACAAAGGTCTCACAGCATGATAAAAGTTTAGCCACGCAGAGATATTGTGCTGGAGTGAGGCTGCACTGCACACACTTAAGGCATCATCTTACCTTAACGTGCAAATCACATGTAATGTGCAATATCTGTATCTGGAATGGCATTTCATGCCACTGTATACTTGTACAGTAGCATGAAGATGGCAGGATGGAGAAATCCACTTTATCACTATTTCTACATGTTACTGTACATAAATACATACTGACCTCTCAATAGATCGTCATTCATGGTACATATTTTCTGCTCACCTTGCCATCCATCCATCCATCCATCCATCCCAGAACAAACAAGAGTTGTGTATAGATGTATAGAAAGTGCACTGACCAGGTGACGGATGCCGTTGAAGGTGTGGTATGCGAAGGGGAATGCAAGGACAAACTTGGCACCGGTGATTATGGGTGTGCCCAGAGATAAGGACTGGATGAGCTCCAGACAGTGGGCATAGTCACCAGGCAGAACCAGGGCTCCCACAGCAAACAGAGAGACACCTAGGGAGGGTTTAAAAAAAAAAAAAAAAAACGAACAAGAATTCGGAAGGCAATCAGCGAAGAATCGTAAGCATAACGAACATGACAGATACTAGCAGTTCTATCAACGACTGCTCATGCGGATGGCATCAGTGTCTCCCAGCATGGGATTCCTTCATACCAGACCAGCGTAACACACACAGTCTGAGGTGGTACTACAATGGATAGGTAATAACAGAGTCTGTGCAAAGGCATCATGCACAGCCAGAAACTGGATTCCTCCCCCCCCCGGCCAACTACAGATGTATTTTCATCTTACAACTTCTAAAAGTTAGTCATCTCCAGGAATTTTGAGGGTTCCTGAGAGGCGGTTCCGTTTCACAAACGCCCACCGAAGGGCGAGAGTTTGACATCTGAAGCCGGGTACGTGCCGTGCCTGAAAAGGCGTGCGTCCTTCGAGGCGCGAGAACGCCGGGCCTATCGCCGCCTCAGACGTTCCGCCTTTACATTGGCAGGAGATCAAGCTGTTCAGAAGTGCATTTGGACTCTCTCGGGCCGGCGAGGGAATAGCTGGCAACAGCATTCAGAGGATCTACTCCGACTTTGTTAATTAACACACCAGGAGCTATTCCCATCACGCGGGCGCCAGCTGTCTGGGAAATGCCAGCTTACTGGCTAACTGGCACCTCCCCAGCACTGCTCATGATAGCAACAACACGCTAATGTTTTTCTCCTTGTTACAAAATGGTGGCTTGGGACCGAAAGCAAACGTACGGCTTCGGTGCCTCGATACAGCCGGCAGGCCGGCTCTGCCGGGGATGTGAGGCGGCGTAAGCAGGCTGGGAAAGCCAGATATTTGGTTTATTGCGGAGTGCAGGGGTTCCCATGTCTTTTAATGTAAAAAAATAAAAGGTTAACCAAAGTTTGTTTATTGTTGTTTCACATTTTGGAGTTATACAAATCAAAGTGGATCTATGCTGCATACAACAGGGAGTTCACCTCACTGCGGGAAGCAGCACAGAAGAATCCCACAAATCTGAAAAAGCAACTGTTAGGCTTTAAAGAAACTTCACTAAAATGGGTCAGTCTTAAAAACAAGCTTAAAAAATGCCCGGCGATGGACTCTCATCCTTTGTGGGGTGCCCCCCTGGCTTCTTCCGCACCCCCCCGGCATACGCTTCAGGCTAACCCCAACCCGCTGTTCGATATGTGCTTACGTGCGCGGACGAATAGAAACTAAACTGTGAAATAGGGACTCGATGAACTGAAACACAGACTGTGAAAAATCAAATAAAGAAAAGCAAAAATATGTTCCACAGGACAGCGTACCATTTTATCCCAAATGGGGGGGTGGGTGGTTTAAGGTAATAATATAGAGGAGCAGAGTACCTGTGCTAAGCGCGATTCCCGTGCCTCTATGCGAGATGGACATCATCATGGGGATCGACCACCTGCAAAACACAGCCAGTTACCGTGACGACTGCTGAAGATTACAGCCCTGCACAGCGGAAGCGTTGCAGCCGTGCAGGCACAGTGCACGCCAATTATCTCCCCCTAGTGCACACATGGGTATACAGTTTATTTTCCTGTCAGACGGAGTACCATGGGAAACAGCAGTGCTCACAGCGAGTCCGCTTCTGCACATGTGCAGAACGGCCCACATCATTAAACCAGAGGAACGCAGGGAACAAAGAGGGTTTTGTTCCACCCGTCGGAATAAGATGAAAACCCAGTGTAGAGAGCGTCATTCATTTTGCACGCTCGTCATTGCCAGAATCAGAAAACAGGGTCTTCAGGGTCGAGAAGAAACGCAAGTTGAGATCACCTACCTGGATTAAAAATTCCACTTGAAAGGTGACTGTTCTGCAACAATTACAGCTTATATAGTATCCTCAGTTTCTCTGCCTTGAGCTACCCATGCAGTCAGGGAAACCCACGCAATAATGCCGTAAACTTTAATGGTCACTGCACTGTGGTGCTCCCTCAAATTATTTGCTCTGCGTTCTGACTATTGGTTTACTGCCATCACCTTTGAATTCTGGATGCTTTTCAAGACAAGCTCTCAGCCCTCAGTGCCTGTGGGACTTTAATTACAGGAAGACTTTCTCCATCCCCCTTTCACACCCACAACCAGCATAAAACAGTACAGATTAAATTTGTACCTGTAGATGGTAACATGGGGAGATACTGGTCGGTTCAAGCTGGTATTTTTGGCCCAAAACCTATTCATTTCCTCCTTCGCACTGGTTCCCATGGGAACCACACTGCAAGACAAAGAGACATTGAAGCTTCTGAGCAAATTTCTTGCACAAAACATTCTTACTAACATTTACACTGATACACATAAACTGTTATGTTCATGCAAATATCTCAAATTGTTAAAAAAAAAAAAAACCCCAATATATTAATTTTTGCAAAAATAAACAACTTTATGTCCCACTTAGATAGCCGGTTTAGCCATATATAATGTTATATTAGCTAAAACAATTCTCATTTCACACTGTTTCACATTAATGGGCAATGCAAATGGAAAGCAATAAGCTGATAATTATTCACATTAAATAAATGAATAGACTGTGTGAAAGGCAAACAGAAAAAGAAACTGGAGACTATACACCACCCTAAATATTAAAGCTTTCAAATGAAACAATTAATACCTTTACTACATAAGAGGCATCTAAAGACAATGGAGAGGCTGATATCAATCTGTTTAATGCATATACCAAAGCTAAAGTACTAGCGTTTGTCTGTATATGATCTTCATCACAGTATTAGATATCAAATTAAAAAAAAAACGATTTTAAAATGACACATCGTTGTAGTACAATCCCAAAGAAAATGACATTTTATTCAGAGAGAGAATATAGCAAGCAATAAAAATTTGTTGTTCATTAGGTACACTGTACGCAAATTAGATACTCACTGTCTGTACGGGACACAAGACTGTGCTCTGGTCACGCTAAGTCCCTGGCGGGCTAAGGACCTGTGGCAACGAGAAAAAAGAAAAACTTTTTTGTGACATTAAACATCCTCACACACAGAAAATTTTGACTGGGGTAGCCGTCAGGGGCCAATTATATTTTGGGGGTGGCCGCACTGAAAAATCATGCAACAAGGCTGGTCACGCCCACCCCTTAGATCCGCCCCTGCTCACTCAGGCTCACACGTGTTCTGGAAATGTCCTCCTCCTCCAATTATTGTTAATAAAGTGGATGCCGCATCAGCAAAGACCTAACTACTGTCTTATTTTTCTCCACTGATGAATATATAGTGAGACTCAGAGAGATGCCGATTATTTTCTGCTCCCCTGAACATTGCTGTATTCAGGATAATAAGAATTCATCAAGATAACTTATCGCACTGTTTTATTGGACCATAGCGCTAACCGAGTGGAAAGTCCATTATGACAGCGAGATTCATTCGCACTTTGCTTACAGTATTAATAATCCATGACATTATGTTCCTTAACCGCGCATTTAGAAAATACGACTTGGTGCAGCTACTAAATAGAACTGCTTGATACCCGGAAAACAACTGGAAAGCCAGTAAAACTAAGAAAAACCAATTACCGCACTGGGTGACCTTGTTGTCCAACAGGCTTTACTTCAGAATTTCTAAGAATTCATTAATTAATTAGCTGTGCGCGTATTTTCAAACGACTAACAGGAATAACTTAGCTATAGGAGTCTGCAGCTGTTGGTGTAAGAAACCACATTTATTTCATCTTCTATAAAAAGCAAATTCTTTAAAGTACAAGCCAGAAAATACAGCGCATGACATAAGATTACCAGTGTAACCGTGGTCGTATTAAGGAAGGACAACAACACACCATAAAGACGTACGAAATACGAGCTTTACTGACCTTAATAACAACGCCATTTTCACGACCCTCAAAACAGGAAGTGACGTAGCGGAAGTTCCTCGGCTAAAATCCGTTCCTGCCAGGACAAAGCGCGAGGACTCCGCGGGAAAGTCTTGCGTTTGCCAAGGAGCCACATTCCGTCTGTCGAATGAAGTGCGGAGGATGGGGGGGATGTATTATTGCCCTAAAATACAAATATGTTGTACTTTGCAGTTTATAATTTCAGAAAGTACAATCTGATGAAATATTTAATTTAGCGTTTTAAATACTTTACAAGGACGAAACCAATGTAACTTTTAAAGTGATTTTCCCTACCATCTTGGGTTGTCTATCTGTTTTCTCTGTTGGAGAACTGCTATTTAAAAAAAATGCTAGAAATCTAGTAAACCTTTTTCTAAAACAATAGCTATTATTGAAGAAGGTCTGTGCAACGAAAAATTTCAGAATATCTCCAATAATAGCATGATCTACATTGTGCCGTTACAAGGAGTATGGAATTTAATTAGTTTGTCAACGTCAGGGCTCCTTTTAGCATATACGCATTAAGAGAAAGCAAGGCACACAAATCTTAAGTCACATCTTGAATTGTCAAGTTCCTCCGTAACCTACAATTAAAAACATTCCTGTAAAATCTAGATTTTTTTTTAATCACTTATCAGAATGCCAAACCATTTAATCTTCTCTTTAACCCGTATTCCACTTCTGAGTTATGTGCACCCATAATTTTACTCTTTCTCTGAATAATTCAAATGTAACAATTTCAAAGCATCCAAGATAACAGGAACTTGGCTATTATCCTTCAAAACAGACATGTATCATGTGCCAGTTCATTAATTATGAAAGAATATTCTGCTGTCTGAATTCTATTGATGTCGGAACAATGCATGGTAAAATGATGGAGCTGTTGAGCTACTGGTAGAACTGAAAAAGAAGATATTTGACGTACTGTCTGATGGATCACTGTTTTGACAAAGCTAGACTGCTATAGTACTTTGATAAAAGATTTGTCTGATAGTAAAAGAATCTTGATCAATGTGAAGCAAAGGTGACATAAAAACATGTTCCACCATATTAAATGCTCTGTAGAAACTGATAAATAAAACAATTGCATCCTTATTAGTTGATTTTGGGTATTGTAAGAGATTGATAGCAAGGTGGAATTTATGAGAGATATGTCTTCCTTGTATGAAGCCAGATTGTGCAATGGAAATTATTTAGTCTAAGCACGTTTTTAATCTGTTGGCATACAGTGCCACTGATAATTTATAGTTCATGAAGTTTAGCAGAATAACTGGGCACCAATTATTTAAATACAACAAATCTTTATTAGGTTTTTGTATTCATCACTGGTGGGAAGGGTTCCACTAAACCGGTAACCACTGATTAGCAAAGTAGCATTTTAGTTAGCGAATTAGCGTTTCTACTAACTTTGAAAACTGTTAGTGGACCAATTACACCTTAATATCACACGTACATATTCCGGTTGATAGCTCAATAAAATTCAATAAGAAAAGCATCAAAACCTGGACGGGCGATTCTTCAATCATTATAGTGATCTAAATGTGAAAGTGCTGATGAATAAAACAACTTCATCTTTGGTCTTCAACATTCTTTATTTATATAGTATTTGAACATATATCAGGAACAGAATGAATAAATCATACACAATGAGCACACGTCTTTCAGGGACATATTTTCCCTATCATATGCTGTTAAGTCACTATATTCCTATGTTTAATGATCCTTGTTGCAAAAGTGCAATTCATAGTCTTCCAAACTGGAAAAACTGCTGCGGATTGGCATAGGAGGAAAAAAATGCAGCCTTTGGAAGCCTTAGCATGAAGAGCTTATTTGAATGTAAATGTAACTATGCGACCGGCCCCACTGCATGGACCAAGGCCTCATTGATTCAAATCCCTTATTTCTGAATTGATGTTCTATCAGTTTTCTCTTACTGTGTAAGGAAGCTTGGACGAAGTGAAACATATGCATTTGTTCCAAGTACATGTGAAAAATTTAATTTGACATAGGTATAATAAATTAGCCAATTAGAAATCCGTTGCCATGGAAATGGCTAGCTCCTTTAAGAAAGGAATTAAGGAGATGTGGTGTTGCTGGAAGATACAGGTTAAGTACAACAATTTCATGCAGTAATACTATAAACAATACAATAAAGTGACACATGCACACAAGCATGTAGATATTCGACACTTTTCAATAGTAAGTCTCCCTTTCGACCCAACCTGCAAAAGAGAGCACAGTGTGAGAAAGATACAAAAACACTTTCCTTCATGTAAGATAACGTAAGGAACACACTTCAACATTAATTTGCTCGGAAATCTATTATTATCACCCTGTCCCTAAGCAGCACTGGCCATGGTTAATCTTTGGGAAAGTCCAACGTTGGTTTACTGGCCTGAGTAAATTACTGTGAGAGGATTCTGACCCCACACTCATCATAGCAGGGGACCCCCCCCCAAACTATCAGCCCCCCCCCCCTGCTGTGACAGCCCCAACTCCACTGTCCCCGGCAGCAGTAAGTAATTTCCATGCCATGCTTCTGCAAAACGACCGCCCTGATTTGTGTGCCTTCTGAGGGAGCGTGTGACATTTCTGGAGACTGTGGGTGTGAGATCGAGAGCGAGCGGACGAGACGGGGAGCGTGTGACTATCCCCAAGGCTGTGTGCACGTGTCAGTGACGGCTCACCTCCTGGGCGTCGTCTCAGGATTAGTTTGCGAACCTCATCGTAGACAAAGATGATGAAGCTGTAGGGGAAGGCGCAAAACCACCAGGAGATCCTGAAAGATACGCGGGCAAAGGGAGATTCGGAGGCTGACATCAAGAAAGAGGATAAACCAGGAATATAGACATGTTCAGCGGTGGGTGGTGTGGACTTGGTGGAATCAAAGGCCGCGGTTGTTTTTACTGTGACGGCGTGACAACAGTGAGCAATGGTGCAAACTTGGTGTCAGAAGTCATCTCAGGACATCGTGAGAAATACGCACTTGAGGGGGTACATGCGCAGTGCGACATCCATGCCCGGGCAGTAGGACAAGAAGGCGGCGAGTGCGGTCTCCGCGAACAGGCCGAAGATCAAGATCCGATTCCTGCGTGAGAGGAAGCAGAAAAACACAGCGAACAGGTGCAGAGGGATGAATCACAAGTCAGCAATAACTCCATATGCGAGCAATTTCAACTTTAAATCATCCGTGGTGGATCAACATCTGCTTCGCATCCATCTCGCGTTGGCCCTGCTCCGGATCTCCCACAAATCACGACAATAAATAAAGCCGCCTTTGATGCTGTGTCCCACGCCAAGAAGAGGTGCGACAGACATACCATGCAGTGGTAGAGAAATCAAACCCTGGCAATGAGACACACATGTGGAATGCTGCAGGACGAGCGGTTTACTTGCATTACTCATCCAGTCAGTAATGATTACTCACTTCATGCCCTGCTGGAAGACGGAGTTACGTCTGGTCTTGCATATGATCAGGTCGGCCCACTGCACCACCACAATGCTGATGAAGAAGGACGTGTGACACGTGAACTCTACGATCTTTCTCTGTTCATATGTCTGAAAAAAGAAAAATACACGCATGACTCCATACAATTTAATATACATATAATCTCATTTAGTAAGTATAGCCCGTGATGTGGATTTGTGTTTAGTCTGGTCTTCTCAACAAACCTTTCACTTTCTCTCACTCAGCTCTCCCTCTTTTTTCCCCCCCTCTCTCTATACCCCCTGTTCCCATTTCTCACCCACTGCTGGCCATAGCTGTCCTCCACTTCGTTGTTGTTCCGGTCATCCCATGCCAGACGGATTCCCAGCAAATTGAAGGGCAGGAAACCGTTTTCAGCCAAGATGACAAAATAAGAGAAAAAGCCTGCCAGGGCTTGGAGCATCCCTAGAGGCAGAGGGAAATGTACACGGCCATAATGACAAGATGAAAAACATATACAACAGTATGAACGGATGGACTGGGAGACGCACTCAGAGAATGTAAGACAGACAGACAGACAGAGAAACAAATAGACAGACAGACAGATAGACCAAAAGACAGACAGTGTGGCAGATAGACAGATATGCAGAGAGACAGAAAGACAGACAGACAAAAAGAGATACAGACAGAGAGACAGAGAGGAAAAGGACTAACCAATCTGGCCATACGCTATGCTGATCAGCCTTTCATTGACGAGTTTGTCTGTGCGCGGGTTCCTGGGGTGCCTCTTCATGATGTCACTCTCGGCCATCTCGTAGGCCAGAGAGATGGCCGGCACCTGAAGGTGGGGAAGTGAGGCGTAGTTCAGTCTGAGGGAACGGTCAAGAGGACTCAGGGAGATGGGGCAGAGGATGAAGAGCCATGCAATCACCATGTCAGTGCCCAAGTCGATGCAGAGGATGGTGACGGTTCCCAGGGGTAGCGGTATACTGGCGAGGATGAAGAGGAGGAAGGGGGTGATCTCAGGGATGTTGCTAGTCAGGGTGTAAGCAATGGACTTCTTGAGGTTGTCGAAGATGAGGCGACCTTGATGGGTGAAGACATGAACATGACATGAACAAGAGGAGCCTCCTTTCCTGCATTTACCTCACTGTGTTAATCGTTGTGTTTGTCCTTTTTCCAGCCTCTGGTCCTATCTGTGCTTGACAATGAGGTCAAGTTCGTGGCTTATGTGGATTATCCAGCGTCATTGTCATTTATATGACAATAGATTTGTCTCAATAAAATCTGCAGAGGCTAAGGAGATGCCGTTGGAGCTGATGAAATGGAGAAAAGAGTACACCTTGTGCTACTTAAATCATTTTATTCAAGTTAGAAATATATATTAGTCATTTTAGAGCTCTTCTGAAAATGGTTGGATGGATGAATGGATGGATGGGTGGGTCTTTCGAGATCTGCCTTTATACTTAATTCCATAACAACGATGTGCTAAGATGAGCTCTATGACATATTGTTTGATAATATATGTAGTTTATAAAGACGATGGGAATATGAGCCTTTTCTAGATAAGCAGTTGGAGGTGGGGTTGATGTTTAAGAATCAATCCTATTAACGAGCCAGTATGGAGTTCTTCAGTCTGGACAACCTCGGAATATAGACCCTTATGGCTATCAGTGTTATCAGTCTAGACCCCATCAGTATAGATCTTTCAGCATACATCTTTCTTTTCCTCACCTTCCTCCACTCCAGTGACTATGGAGGCAAAATTGTCGTCCAACAGGATCATGTCAGCAGCCTGTTTGGAGACGTCCGAGCCAGCAATGCCCATGGCCACGCCGATGTCTGCCTTCTTCAGGGCAGGAGAGTCATTCACGCCATCCCCAGTTACTGCCACAATCGCTCCCTGATAGAGAATCGAGGTGATAGATTCCCTTTAGTTGGATGTGGCCGGCTAAACGTCACAAGAAAAGGTCACTAGATATCAGACCAGCTCACGTCTTTTTTTTTGTCTGTCAAGCTGCCGTCCAGACCTGTGGGAACCATACAGATGTAGCCTCCCTCACCTGCCGTTGACAGCCCTCAACGATGATGAGCTTCTGCTGGGGCGACGTCCGTGCGAACACAATCTCCGTGTGGTTCCTCAGTATGTTGTCGAGATCATCGGAGGCCATTTCCTTCAGGTCTCCGCCGTGGACGACACACGCCTTGGCGTCGCTACGAGAGACGTGCGATGGGGGTGAAAAGACGCCGACGCAAACACAAATTGTGTGATTTCTGAAAAAGTTCTGCGGTGAACGTCGCTTATCCCAGTGAGGGTCGTGGCTGGACCTAGATCATACGCCAGACAATACCTGGCACCTGGCTTGGGTTCACCCTGTATGGGATGCCAATACACAATAAATATGTCTATGGCAATACTCACAATCTGTCGCTACGATATTTTGTGGAACGACCGGATTGATTTCCGTAAATTTCCCATGGCAGGTAATTATGTGTGAGAGGGTGCTCACCAATGGACTGACATCCTGTGTAAGATGTCCCCTGCCTTGATACCTGTACTTCCTGGGGAAGCTTCAACTGACGCTCTACCAGATAAGCGATTGTCATTTGAACATGTTTGTTGAATGAATTTGCGCTGGCAACAATCTTGTGTCTCACCCTACCGAGGGTTCACTTGGCTGACTGGGATGTTCATCCTTTCGGCGATGTCTTCCACCGTCTCGTTACCCGCAGAGATAATGCCGACACCTTTAGCGATGGCTTTGGCGGTGATGGGGTGGTCCCCGGTCACCATGATCACCTAGAGGGTAACGTTAACGTTAGCACTGTTTAGCTGAACTGAAACCTCTGCACTATGATGACAAAATCACTATCAAAATATTATTACCATATTGTTATGTCTTTATTTTTAACAGCAATGTTTTTACTGGATATTTTCACAATTAAAGTTAAGTACTTAGCCCAAGGGTACAACAGTAGAACCCATCCTGGGACTTAAACTGGCAACCTGTGGGTTAACGACTCTGATGCACAGATGTTACAATATTATTATTACATAATATTATCAATGTATTCCTGCTCTGCAGAAGCAGGCAGAACTTAGCGCCCCTCGATAATTTACTGCTTTGTCAATGTGCCCGATTTTTTGGTGGCGACTTGTCATGCCGCCGGGTGACATCGTTGTGCCCACCTTGATGCCGGCACTGCGGCACTTTCCCACGGCATCGGGGACGGCCGCGCGGGGAGGGTCGATCATGGAGATCAGCCCCAGGAAACAGAGATTGTCCGTGGGGAAGTTCACCTCGTCGCAGTCGAAGGCAAAGCCCCGGGGGAACTGGCTGGGTGACAACAAGGCGTGACAGAATCCTGAAAGGAAACGCAGTGCCGAAACACTCCATTAGTGCTCTGTGGTGACAGGAGATGCTCCATTAGTACTCTCGTGGCACAAATAAACACAAGATTACTGCTATCCAGGCGCAGCAAAAGGGACACGATTACTAGCCTGCCGTCACTAAAAGAAACACTATTATTATTTTCTTGTCGGAGTGTAACACCTACAGGCTGATCTTTAGCTGTTGAATGGAAATGAACACTACAAATACCATTCCGCATTTTCTGAAGTCAGTTCACCAAGTGGTAGAACAATAGGAAGAGAGAAGAAGTCTAGTCTTCATACCTACCCAGCACCCTCTCCCCTAATCCCCCCAGCTCCATGTAGGCATTCTGGAAAGCATCTTTCCACTCATCATCCAGAGGAAATTCCTCCCCGTATATCATGATTGTGCTGCACCTGAAAAACAAATAATACATCCATCCATCCATCCATCCATTTTCTGAAACGACTTGTCCTATCCAGTGTAATGGGGCAGATAATAGAGACTCCAGTAAATGCCAAGGCGTAAATAGGTGCCAGTGACACCATTAGAAATATTAATGATTTCATCAGTGCTTACTGATATGTACATATTGGTGATGTTCAGTGTAGTTAGGGACAGTGATCAGCTGACTCGGTGATTGATTGTTATTTGCTAGTAACTAACATACCCCTGGGTTCCATGGATTCCACTACTAGCCTGATGCCTCTTTACATTCCTTGAATGTTCGTATGTTGTACCTCTGGTCCTTCAATAGTCTTATTAAGACTTGCTTTGTTTGGTAGGTGTTGTGTAGATCCTACTCCAGTGCTACTTATACCTCACTGGAAGCCTCACTTGTACATCACTTTGGACAAAAGTGTCTGCTAAATGTGTAAATGTAATACCTGTCCAGGATTCTCTCAGGTGCTCCTTTCATGACTAACAGATGTCCATTGGGCGTCTCCTGAAACTGATGGATGGACAGCTGAGAAGCAAAAGAGTGAGAGAAACGACATGTTGTCAGAGGAGGCCGGAAGGGTCTTTACACCAAACACATGGACAAACGTGCGAACACACACTTGGTATTTGTTTGTGGAGTTGAAGGGGATCTCTCCCACTTTCGGGTTCTTATCCCTCATGTTTCGGACGGAGCCGCAGGAAAGCTCCATGCACTTCAGCAGGGCTGATTCTGAGGCATCACCAGCCGTGTCTCTCTGGGGAAGCATCATCAGCATCATCATCATCATCATCGCTGTCATCATCATTGCCATTGTTGCTGTCATCGTCGTCTCATCATCGTCATTGATCATCATCATCATCATCGCTGTCATCATCATTGCCATTGTTGCTGTCATCGTCGTCTCATCATCGTCATTGCCATCGTCATTATCATCATCATGGTCACTATCATCATCATCATCGTCACTGTCATCATCATCATCGTCATCAACACTGCCATCCTCATAACTATTTTTGTCATTATCACTGCCATATGCATCTTTATCTTGGATGTTACCATCCTTGTCATTGTTAAAATCAGTGCCAAATTATAATCACCAATATTATTCAGTGTCATAAAAGTTTAGTCAAATTCTGGCAAATTCTTCTGACATTTCTTCAAAAACGGCTATAAATATCCAGGAACACAGAGACGGTTTCACACCAAGTGTGCCCAGTATTGGTGCAGGTTTGGCACATTTCAGTGTAGAGCTGCCACTAGCGGATAATTATTTATAGATTAATCTATTGACCGTTTCATCGATTGGTCGATTAATCTAAATGATTAATTTTCCTCCAGAAAATCAACTTGACCATTTAATTTAATTTCATTCTGACAAAAACTATGTCATTGCCATGGCTTTAGATAATGGCCGGCAATTTTCAACGTGTTGAACAAGTTCAACGTGCACAAACACACACACCGGCACCGTCAATCAACGCAGAAAAAGCCCAGATTTTAGCCTAAACATTTCGACACTTATTCAATGAGGACTGTAATGCAGCAGGCAGACAGCTTCATGGGTTTAATAATGAGTTTATTTAGCAGCTATAAGGACAAAAGATATTAAAAGCTCTCCGTTCTAATGGTAATTTAATAAACATCAATAGACAACACTTGGCGGTCCATCATCCGGAACAGTGCCTGTGTGCTTCCTCTTCAGGTGCTTGTGCACAGCCCTCGTGCCGCTATGGTATGACATCACACTTTGCACAGTGTAAAACAACCTACTTGTTTTGTGATAATTTGATGTACTCCCATAAATAATGAACTGAAATGTTTTAGAAATCATAAAGGTCATTTTATTAAGATAATTAAAAAAAACGATGCATCGATTTAAAATATTGATGTTGACGGGCAATTTGGTAACTCCAATTAACCTCAGAATGTTTTTGGACTGTGGGGGGTAACCAGGGTACCCAGAGGAAGCACTGCACCACCTTGCCACCCCGGCATTGATTCATGCTGTGGTTATTACAAAACCAAAGTGATCAAGCTGTGGCACGTCCAGACCCACCTTTAAGATGAAGATGTCGTCCTGTCCCGGCTTAAAAACAGCCCTGTTGCAGAGTCCAGCCACTCTCGACAAAGCAGTCCAACTCGGAGAAGTCTTGTCAAAGGTATTGCCTGTGGAACGTAAGGAGACAGGTGGCTGTAAGCTTAACCTCGGCCTCTGTACCCCGCTGTTGGTATTTTTCCGTGACTGGCTGTCACCATTTCCTCATAATAGGCTTCCAGTGTTATGTAAGCTTCCCAGTAGAAATCTGTCAGTATTACCCAGAGCGGCATGACTTTCCCAGCTTCGCCTTTTGGCTAAACTGTCAGCATTTCCCTTTAGCAAGCAATATTAGCCTGTGCCACAGGAAGCTGTCAGTGTCGTGAAGCTTATGGTTTCGGTTAATGTCTAAAGCAGGCTGTCAGCTGTCTCTATCAGTCTAGCCTGTAGTGACTGGGTGTCAGTGTCATCGGTAGTTAACCCCCGGCTGAGCTGGTCAGGAACTGGGCACGCTGCCTCACCAGACTGGTCCTCAGTGGTGTCCGCCTCGTGGATCATGTTGTCGAACCACATGTGGGCCACGGTCATGCGGTTCTGCGTCAGGGTGCCGGTCTTATCGGAACAGATGGTGGAGGTGGAGCCCAGGGTCTCCACGGCCTCCAGGTTCTTCACCAGGCAGTTCTTGCGGGCCATGCGCTTCGCCGTGAGTGTGAGGCACACCTGAACAGGAATTGCGGAATGAAGACAGGGCCCGTGATGGATCGCCATGAATGTGGGTCGACCGACAGCCGGCGGCTGACTCACCGTCACGGTGGCCAATAGCCCCTCAGGCACGTTGGCCACGATGATGCCGATGAGGAAGATGACGGCCTCCAGCCAGCTGTAGCCCAGGATGATGGAAAGGATGAAGAAGCTCACTCCCAGGAAGACAGCCACCCCCGTGATGATGTGAATGAAGTGCTCGATCTCCATGTTGATTGGCGTCTGGCCGACCTCCAGCCCGGAGGCCAGCGTGGCGATACGGCCCATCACCGTGTGGTCGCCTGTGGCAACAACGATCCCGTGGGCAGTGCCTGACAAACGCCAAGGGTGTTTCTCAATACCAAGATTGTGAAGATCGTACTTGTGGTTTTGGCTAGACGGGTCTAGCTAACTTGCCTCCCAAGAACAAACTTGGGGCGCAATGAATCATGGGATTGGTCTCGTTCAGCAAGGATGCGGCCGATGAATTTTTGATATTTGGGGCGTGGCAGGAATGACGTCTGGGGATATTTACCATCATCAGTGCATCTATCCTTGAGTATTGGAACTAGACTTCGGCAATGGAAGACGACGGAAAACGGGTACATGAGAACACGGGTGTGGTCAAGTACATCAATTGAGGGGAGGCAAACAACGCAGGCAAAGGATGTGTACATATGTATATGTGTGTAAGTAAGTAAGTAAGTAAAGTTTATTTATATAGCGCCTTTCACAGAGAAAAAGTCACAAAGCGCTTCACATACAGTATAATATACGATCTGAGTGTATGTATATGTGTGTGTGTCTCTCTCTGTGTGTGGGATATAGGATGAGGATAATACCTTAACACACAGAGCTAGAGAATCTCGCTCAGAAGGGAACGCACTGCATGTACGTGAGGGACTCAGACTGACAGGCGGGGGCACAAGGTGGCAAGAAACACTGACCCTCCACGCAGTTGGTGGAGAAGAAGCAGATGTTGCGAGTCTCCAGGGGATTCTCGTGGGTGTACTCCGGGGATCTGGTCTGGGGCTCCGACTCCCCAGTAAGAGACGAGTTATCCACCTGACAGAGATACAAATGCGCTCATAGAACCCTCTGCATATTATAAAATAAAAAGACAGTATATAATTGTGAGGTGGGTGGGTGGCGATCTCAGAGGAGAATTCAGCATGTCATATTGATTCAATCCACCTTTTCTTTGTTTTCGCTGTAAATTATATTTTCACTATAAATATTTTCTTTGCCTTGCACACCTAGTAAACAGACCACGCCACCCACATCCAATGCTTTCATTTCCCGGACACCTCCCCCAAGTCCACTCCTTTGATTTTTTCTCTGTCTGGCTGAAGCTGTGTTTGCTTTTTCCACCGCATTTGTTGTGTTGATAACACCCTGGCCTAGTTTCTGCGCGCCCTATAAACCCCAAGTAACACCGCTTTCCTGTGCCCATTCCGCTTTCATACGCGTCTATGGGCCATGCAAACACGATACCATATGCCTTATATAAGATGTCCTTCGCGTATCACCTGCCCCTGTCCGTTGCACCCTGGGAGGGGGACCAGGGCCCTCTTTTAACCATGCAGGTGGACATCGGTTAAGAGGGACAAAGGGTAAACTGGGCCACTTATATCGTACCTATTGTATGTCTGTATATTGTATTAATTAATTTTGTATTTGTTGCATGTACAGTCGAACCTGCGCTATGTTAGATCTGTCTATGTCTGAAGGGAGGCACACAAGTAAGAATTTCATTGTACTTGTACAAATGACAAGTTTTGAAACACTCCTGAATCTTATATGTTCGATATTTTTTATGCGTGTGTGGTCTTAAGCTCAGTTCTTGACCTTCCAATGATACTTGTATGTTTTAATATTTATAATTAGGATCATATTTTTAAAGTGAAATTTCAAAAATTGGCCACCGATATCCACCCGACTTGACAGGCACTTGGATTAATGCAACTTCCCGAGAAGTACAGTGGGCTCTGATCTTAAAGCCCTTCTCCCATAAATGCTTGTAATTAGCCATGAGCATTCAAGAGTAACTGCAGCACATTGTGAGTCATAATCCTACAGTCCTCAGCTGGGTATGGGGGCTTAGAGAGACTCAGCTAGGGTGCCATGGGCACAGCAAGCCCAGTGGCAGGGCAAAAAGGCTTAGCTTTAACAAGACAGGGAAAAAATCAAACACTTTGATACTTTGATTCAGGCAAGCTGTCAGAGGAGTGAAAGAACAACATGCTATTGCCAGGGTCCACTGATTAACTGGTCTGGAGCACTCATGAGGGCTTTATGGCTGCTGGCACCCACTGCTGCTACTTTTATTTAATTCATTTTCATAAAAGAAATATACTTTTGTTCTAAAACTGATCCACTGATACCTAAAGAGAAACAGGCTCCTATAACAGAACATCCCTGTCTTGCTGAGCCCCAACCCCCCCCCCCCCCCAACCAGGTTGTGATGTCATCCTGTCCCATTCTGTGATGTCACCCCTAAATTGTGATGTCATCCCCAGGTTGTGATGTCATNCCCCCCCCCCCCCCCCCCCCCAACCAGGTTGTGATGTCATCCTGTCCCATTCTGTGATGTCACCCCTAAATTGTGATGTCATCCCCAGGTTGTGATGTCATCCCCCCATACCTTGCAGCTGCTAGCAGAAATAATCCTCAGGTCGGCGGGAATGCGGTCGCCTCCTTTGATCTCTACCACGTCCCCAACCACCACATCCTCTGCATTGATATGTATTTTATCTCCATCTCTTAGAACCAGCGCTTGCTAACCAGGAGAGAGACATGGAAGAGGCGAAGCGTTAAAGCAAGAAGTGGCATCAAGGTCTTTCTCCTGGCTGACAAAGTGAGGCAAGACGTTCCTACCTGAGGAACCATGTTCTTAAAGGAGTCCATGATCTTGGAGCTCTTGGCTTCTTGGTAGTAGGAGAAGCATCCAGTGATGATGACGACAGCGGAGAGAACGACGCCTAGGTACAGCTGAGGAGGGCAGCAGAGAGGAGTGGCGACATGGTAAACGGCACATCCATGATGACAGTGACAAGCGTGACATCAGCAACAACATTTCTAATCTTCTGTGAAAAAAAGGTATCTGACAGAGCTTTCCGAGGACTGCAAACACTTGAGAGAACTTAAACGAATCAGATGCATTTATTGGCCGATTGGTGGATTTACATTGTCTTTTGCAGGGTCATCCTCCGTGCCGACTTGGATACTGTAGGCCAGGAAACAGAGGACGGCACCTATCCAGAGCAAGATGGAAAAGCCCCCAAACAGCTGCCGACAGAACTTGACCCATTCTGGGATGGTGGGTGGCGGTGTGAGGGCATTGGGTCCGTCCCGCGCCAAGATCTCTTTGGCCCTGCTGCTTGTGAGACCCTGTAAGGGAGCTGCTGTTAGCAGTCTTCAAATACCTCGGGAGGTCCGGGTTGGGGGTCAAGGGTCAGAACGGGAGCAATCTACCTTCGTGAGGTCAAGTCCATATCGATGCTCCAGTTCTTCAGGTGACAGCTTATGGTCATCCTGAATAAAGGCATTCAAAGGCGACACGATCACCCGAAAGGGGACACCACTGAGCAGGCAACCCGAACAGTAACCAAGCAGCTACTTTGGAGATCGAAAACTTCAATGTTCAAGCCTCTGCCAGTGCCCCGGCGATGCAACACCAAGCAGACCTACTTTAGTAAAGACATCCGTGTGTGAGATCGGGCTCTAACCTGAGCTGCTTCAGTGAAAACCGCCTTCTGTACCAATGGCTACAAAGCGTACAGATTTACGTCATTTTGAGTAAAGCCACATGCCAAACATTGAAATAACAGATAAACGATAATCCATTTTTTCCTTGATTTCAATAATGTTATCATGCCCGGGGTGGGGGGGAGGGGCAGTCAGGTGACCTTGGAGCCCCAGAGGTTTTTTTTCTCCCTGCTTGGGAGTTTTTGGTTCCTCTCCTCTACTGTCTTTCTTTCTTTCTTTCTTTCTTTTCCCGTTCCCTCTTTTTGTATTACTCTGTCGTACTGATGTTACTATGTGTCACACCACACCCATGCAAAGCTCCTTGGGGCAACTCTGTTGGGAAAGGCGCTATATAAAAATAAATTGAACTGAATGGAATTGGCTAAGCCACACTCTAACATGGCGCCCATAAGAGCTGCGCAGGCCCCTCCTCCGGAGCGCGGTCGCGGGCCCCGTGACCCTGGGCCGGCCCTCACCATAGCGACTTCCTTCTTCAGCTCGTCCATGTTCTTTTGCTTCCATTTCTTCTTGCCGCCCTCCGGGCTGCCTTCGTGACCGAACTAAAGGGGATATAGGGAAGCGTTATTCGCCGCATGGAGAATGCCTGCCAAGCCTGGCAGATTTTACGCGATATCAGTGGCTTTACTGGTGGCCCCCTGATACAAATGGACGGCGAAGACACCATTATTGACTGGGAGTCGTGTTTTTATGCAGTCACATAGCTGACGCGATTTAGGCAAGAAAATATTCAAACGTGACTTGAGTATGGATAAGATAACACACGGACATATGGTTTAACGTGGGAGGGGAGTCTATTTAACACATGTTCTGTCTATCGATGGGAAAAAATGTGACACATTGGGTGAAATTACAACATGTCATCAGGCCCATCTAATTTAAGCCAATAGGAACTCATAAAATAACTATTCGGAAGTCGGTTAAAATAAGTGGCTGATTGATAGCACAAAAAACGAAATCTGCTAGATCACCGCTAGATCATCTACTAGATCTCTCAATGAATGGTGGTGACACATTGCCCCTCATTCACTATAAATCACAAGCATGCCAATCATTTTCAATGCAATCTATAAATAGCTGTTTTTTTTTTTTCCAAATTGCCAAAAATAATTCCATGCATCAGTGCATGTTGATATGTCACTGAAAACCTGTGCGTGTCAGTGTTCTGCCCGACGAAAAATATTGTGAACGTTAGGGGGACCGTCGTCATTAAAAGCAGCATCTGTGCCTGTCAATCAAACCTCAAGGTGGGAGAAACGAGAGCAAGAATGAGAGGAGGAGGACACGGGAGGTGTTTACGAAAGAATGACACGCGGAGAAAGTAAAAACAGCCGGAGAGCGATGACAGAAAAGAGGCAGAAAAGAGGAAGAGAAAAAGAGGAGCAAGCACATTACAAAGGCAAGAGATTTGGAGGAATTGACAAAGGTCAGACCAACCAAATAGTGAAAAATGTCACTGTACACACAACACGGCAGCACAGGCATGACAAAATACTCCACAAATTTCCCCGTTGCTCTCAAAGCCGGGGGCCTTTTCTCCCACTTCAGCTTGGACTGGCATAGGTTGGGTTCCCGGCTCTGGATCTCCTCCCTCGGTCGCCGGATTTTCCCATGCAGTCCGAGCAATGAGAGAATTCTCTCCTTCATCACTCCAGCCCACCCCCCCCCCCCCCCCCACGGTGGTCTAGCAAAGTATATATCAGAGAGAAGCTGCCCAATTGCTGATACAGAAAACGCAGAACTCACCCCCTTTCCCATGTTGTCCTCTTGTAGTTTGCGCAGAATGAAAGGACCTCACCGTTCAGACACTTCGTACATGTGGAAATCACTGGTTGCTTTTTTAAGACTGACAACCCCTCCCCCTGTACTCTGCATGCCCCCCCCAACCCCCCCAGGGTAACCTAAACCATATTAAGCGCCCCCCCCCCACCGAACTGTCTCCCCCACCCCGAAGGGTTTCCACTTACTTCCACCTGCCATCCTATCATGTCTAGTACTGTAATGGGCACTGGTAATTAATGAAACAGCACACTGCACGTCGCATATGTCACTTATAATGGATTATCATTCTGTAACATTCTACCGTGAGAGGAACACATCATCAAGCTCTCATATCGCCATACTTCATACCATTGTATATGATGTATACATTCTAACAAATGGCTGGTGGTAATTGCTGGTGTGTCATCCTTCCTGGATTCTAGGAACCAGGCATTACTTCTGGAGTTTGCACACTTCCTGCGAGTTCACACCCTCTATCTATCTATCTATCTATCTATCTATCTATCTATCTATCTATCTATCTATCTATCTATGTTGTTATAATTCCATCATGGTCAAAGACCGTGGCCTTGTAGCGTAAACGTTCCCATTGCGATGTAGATAGTGCGGCGTTCCTCAAAGCGGTCTGGTGTTTCCCAATACACAGACGGTCCACGTTTTCGCTCACTCCCAGCTCCCAGCCAGACAGTCCACACAGTCCAGTAGGGAGCTGAGAAGGAGCAAAAATGTAGACCGCTTGTTGGTCCCCAAGGACCGGATTGGGACACACGGCAGGGTACTGGGAACAAAATTGAAAAGATACTGTAAACAGCATCACAATAGGTGAGAACTATGGCAATAATTGCTTCTGTACAACATTACAGAAGGTATAACATTGTTTTGTAAAGGAGGACATTTTTAAGGTGAATGTTCATACTGGTGTTATATTATATGTGCATTTCCCTGTATAAACCTCTGTATTTCCTTCCTGTGGCTGTTAGGGAATCTGTCCCCCCCCCCTCCCCCTTTTGTCAATAGACACCCCCAGCAAAGCAGAGCCGGTCCAGGCCTTTGTGGAGTGAAGGAAGCTTCATAGACCCTAACCCCCCCACTGGACAAACCCCCCACTGGCCAATTCCGCTTCACCCTGGACAGTGCCTGCCGCAGCTTCTGCGTTCTGGGTGGGACCGGCAGTGAAGCTTGGCTGCGGGGGCTGATGTGTCGCCAGCGGTTTACTTAGCCGGTCATCTCATTTTCAAACGGTTATTTCCACAAGACCCTTTGATGCTGTGACGCACATCCCAGTACCCAGTTATCAGATCTATGAAGCCAGATTGGGAACCAGGCTGGACAGCAGGTGGGGGGGGGGGTTCTGAAATCCATTCTAGTGCTGCCCTGAATCGGTCTCACTCTGCTCTTCCGGTGTGCATGGGACTCCCATCACAGTTTGAAGAATGAAGGTCACAGCCAGAATACTGCTTTCTTTGACTTGTGCCTGTTACTTTATTACTGAAGTGCTTGAATTCGATTTGGTACTGTGTTCATTGCACTTGATTTTGATACAGTACTTATTAGAGAGCTATAGAAAAACATCATGTCAATATGGATTACAATCTTCTCGGGCCGGACGGTCTGTAACTCTGTCAACATGTTTCCTGAGTCACCCTCTACTTCAGTCCCCCAGCCCACGCTTACTCCCCCGGAAGCCCGAGTCTCCCCCGCGGTTTCCTGCCCCCTCCCGTTGGCTGTGTACCGCAGGGAAGAGGGACACCCTGCTAGATATTTGATAGATGCAGGTGCCCATACGTCTGCTACTTGTCAAGACGATCCCCCAGAGCGTTTTCCCTCTCAGGAAAAGACATCTCTGCTGGAGGACTTTCTACCCAGATTGTTCCTCGCTGTGTCCCAGCTGAGACTCATGCCTGCAGGGCCAGTCTGTTGAGTCTTGGGTCTGTTGTTAATGTGCTCGCTTGGGACCCTTAATGCAAGCTGGAGGCTCTTCTGCTGGTTGCTCCTGTCCTTACCACACTACAGTCCTCTGACGATGCCTGGCCTGCCTGCCACAGATAGCTCTGTCCCTTCACAGCTCTGTCATCAGCACGCCAGCGATGAGCTCCACATGTTCGCTGCCCAGTCTGCGTTGCGCCTAGTATCGATTCCCCTGATAAAAAGGATCAGCATTTCACTCACCCTCCCCGTAACACCTTCATCTTCTCAAAAATCTAGGGAAAGACACTAATCATTTTGTCCAGGATCTCTGAGCAGGGAATTCTGTGTCCTAACCCTCTTTTCATCTTGTCCCTAAGCAGTAAATGTTCATTCCTAGTGGCTTTTGGAGGATGTCTGTGCACGAATAAAGACACTTTTGGCAAAAATCTTTTCTGATCCTTTAATTTTCAAAGGACGATTTCCTCAATTGTGTTATAATCGAATAACATTAAAGGTTCAAGTATTATCTGGCCTGTGGTTCATTATGGCAAAGAAGTAATAATTTACTGAGCTCTAACTTTTCTGTGTTTTGCTTTTTTGATTTGTCATCTGGAACCCGTAATTCATTTAATCTCAACTTCAGCAGCAGTGGTTTAAATTCATCTATTGCATTGCATTAATTAATTGTTCTTTAACCGAGACTTATTCAGTAAAGCTTGTTTTGTCGGTCACCGTCGACTGACCAATTTAAGCAAGCTAATTTAAAAAAAAATATACCATGTTTTTTTTGACAAAGTCTTTCAGTTTTAACGTTCACCTAAATGAAAGGAAGGCAGCTCTGTCTTCTCAAACCTACACAAGGATGAATGATCAGAGCTATAGATCAAACCGACATAGCAAAACAAGTTGGAACGTTAAAGATCCATCCATCCATCCATCCATCCATCCATCCGCTGTTTATCCGGGGTTGGCTCATAAGGGCAGCAGTCTGAGCAGGGATCCCCAGACTTCCTGCTCTCCACCCACCTCCTATAGCTGCTCCTTGGGAAATATCAAGGTGTTTTCATGCCAGCAGAGAGATATAATCACTCCAGCATTTCCTGGGTCTGCCCTTGTTCTCCTCCTGGAGAACACCTGCCCAGAACACCTACCCAAGTAGGCATCCAGGAGGCAGAGGTAGATGTTGGAACCACCTCAGTTGGCTCCTTTTAAGGCAGAGGAGCAGTGGCTCTCCTTTGAGCCCCTTCCGAATGTCCGAGCTCCTCACCCTGTCTGAAAGACTGATTCCAGACACCCTGCAAAGGAAACTCATTTCTGCATCTGTGATCTCATTCTTTCGGTCACTACCCAAAGCTTGTGACCATAGGTGATTGGTGAACTGAAAAGCTTTGCCTTCTGGCTCAGCTCCCTCTTCACTACAACAGAATAGTACAGCGTCCACATCACTGCTGAAGCCGCACCGATCCATCTGTCGATCTCCTGCTCCCTTCTTCCCTCATTCATTAACAAGACCCTGAGATACTTAAACTCCTCCGCTTGAGGCAATTACTCATTCCCAACTTGGGTGGGGCAGTCCACACGTTTCCAGTGGAGAACCATGGCCTCAGGCTTGGAGGCGTTGATCCTCATCCTGGCCACCTCATACTCAGCTGCAAACCGCCCCCAGTACATGCTGAAGGTCAGAGCCCTGTGAAGCCAACAGGACCACATCATCTGCAAAACGCAAAGACGCCATCCTGAGATCATTGAATCGGACCCCTAGGCTGAAGAAGAAGGCCTTCCAAGCTTGGTTAGCTTCTGGGACTCCTGACTGGTACTGGCAGACTAAGCAGAATGCTTAGAAGGTTGGGGGCAGTGCCCTTGGATTGGCAGCCTAGGGTGTGGGTCCCAAAAAGTTAAGAAAGGGGACCGGAGGATGTGTTCCGTCTTCAGTAGGATCACCCTTCCTCAGTCTCCCTGGGAAAGTCTTTGCCGGGCTACTGGATAGGAGGGTCCATCTGATGGTCATACCTTGGACAGGGCTGGACAGATACCAATCCTTGTGGGGACCTGTGGTCGGTGCTTCAGGAATATAGAGTATGGGGTCTATAGCTATTGCATCAGGTCTCTATATACCCGGAGTGAGAGTTTGGATGGCATCGCCGGCAGTAAGTCGGACTCATTCCCAGTGGGTGTCGGACGGCTGCTCTTTGTCACCAGTTCTGCTCAACATTTAAGATACTGTATATAAAAAAACAGTGATTTCAGGTCATGGCCAAAACTGGCAGGGCTGCTTGATTCAATCTGATACAGCTGGACTTGTTGTCTGCCTGGGATTCAGGGACTTTACGACGTTAATCATTTATAAGCTGCCTGTTCAGGGCAGGAAAGGGGAGACAATCATAATCATCTCCTCAGAAAGGGATAGCAGACTCTCGAACGAGGACGCATCTCATTCCCGGTACAGACATAACTCCTCTCCTGCACCATGTTTTCAACACTAATCCTGGCATTATTTCTAAACCGATGCTATTTCTTCTCCTCCTCTTCCTCCTCCTCCTCCTCCTTCTTCTTCTTTTTCTTCTACTTATTATTATTATTATTGTTGTTATTATTATGTAGCACTGAAGAGTCTCCTACCTCAGTTCATCATGCATAATGATAATAAAGTTGACATTGACATTGCTCCTGAATGCCGTAAGTATATGTTCTACATCTGAGTTGCACGGGGGATTATTTTGGTATGTTAAGTCATTTATACATGCTGGCTGAGATCTTTTTTAGTTTTATATAATTACTTGTGTTCTTTCTGTTTCGGTTCGTTTCAGTTTATGATCTCGATTGACTTTATTTCTGTCGCTGGTTTATTATATCCTTGTAGCACATGCTTTTAATCTGAAGTGACATTACTATGTTTCTTATGTTCATAGAACCCGACTCCTGTTAAATTCTTATCTAGGCCCCATCTACAGGGTAACAACAGCAGTGTTTCTGCTGGGACAGATTGAAATAAAGTCACTGTGACCCAGGACACATTTATAAACAGTCGTGCGTTGTTTGTTTTCTTCATGTTGAGGGAATGGCCATTCATACTTTACTTTCACATTGGCTTAATTCTAACGTAGATTGAAATTTAGGACCTATTTTTTTTGGACCATGAGTAAAGCTTATTACTCCAGAAATATCATGTTAAGTGAATCTGCGTAAAAGTGCTAGAATCGAGTCCTGGAAATTTTGTAGTCGTATCGTATGTATATGTACATCAATGACAGAAGGGAGATTTATATAGGGTATTGTCAGCATTCCATTATAAAATGGCATTCAGATATAAGGTACGGCTGCACATCTGCTTTCAAAAACACGGCACAGCAGTGAACGGGCATGTGTTATGATTAGTATATTAATTTACTGTTCACTCAAATAGAAGCAGATAAGTATGAGGCTATTTAAACCTTAAATTATATGGTTATAAAACTGCAATGTTACTACATTACATTTATAGACAAAATTACAGCGTACATAAATAGAAGGGTTAGATACAAAATGGGGGGGGGGGAGTTGGGGGTGGCTAGTTTCCACAGAAACTTCAGTATGAATTTTTGTGTATATGTTACCTGCTATTAATCTGTTGTTATATGAACAGTAAAGTATTTTGTTTTTTTGGAGAATATGGTGGATAAAGGAATGCAGTGCTGTAGTGATGCAGGGACAGGTCAGGGCCTGATTGTGGGACTATTCCTAGTAGTGCTTCTTATTTCGGTGCTATATTTGAACTGCAGAAAAGTCACTGTCCTTAAAACCACCTCAAATAATGACACCGTAAACCCCCCCCCCCCGCAGACAACAAGTACAGCGGCAAATAACCTGCAGCCTGAGACAAACGCAGCTCTTAAATTTTTCACCTCAAGATTAGTATTCTTGTGTATAATTATTACTTCTAAATTCTGGTGCATATAGCAGCAAGAATGTCATGCACAGACAAACATACATACAGTGTCAAACAGACAGAGTAGACATAGTGCAAGCAAGTGGACATGGTGCAAACAGATTTAAATGGTGCACAGCACACAAATAGAGTGTCCTGAAACTACAATATTGTAGGTTTATAGAAATAAATAAACATTTACAGATTTAGAATAATTACTAGTAATCGTCATTTGTTCTACAGAATCCCTATTTAAATCCATCAGTCTGTCCGCTGCAAATGATTTTAAATATAACTGTCATACACTGCAACCATTGTGATTAAGCATCTTTAAATCTGGCTTGTTTTCTGAAATACATCAGCAACGATGCTTCATGAGTTTAACGCTTCGTGAGTTTGATTGCTTCTTCCAGGACAGTGTTTCCCAAACTGATTGTGGGGAAGCCCCAGAAAGTCCACGTTTCTGGGGGCTGGGAGGGAGCACAGATGGGGGTTCCTGAAGACCAGGTTGGGAAATACTGTTCTGGGACTTGGTCGAGTTGAATGCTAAACATAGAGCATGTTGTATAACTAAAGTCCACCAGATGGAGCCAGTTCAAGAACATCGTGTCCGGAAGAACATCTCCCACACCTCACTTGGCATCTTACCCATAATTAGCATGCATTTATTCTTGGAACACATAATATCATTCATCAGTATTATGATTATTGATATTGACTCACACATAGATTTTCCTGCTATCCATGTTTATGTAAATTTAATTGAATGTGTTGTGGAATATGCGTTATGTTCTGTTTGCGTTCCAAAGTGGAAATGCGTAGGAGAATGGCAGGTAAACAAATACACCTACTCACGCATAAATCCATAAATCCTCACATCTCATAATATCCATTTATTCTTTGGTGGTTGGATATTTTGAATTTATGTTACCGGCAAGAGTGAGGCAATAAAACTTTTTTATCAGTTGTCCACTGTATGGAAATAGTCATATCTCAGGGTGCTGGGCTGACAGTTGTGGCTTTGCAGTGCTCTGGAAACTCAAGCACAAGTTTGTGTGCAAACATAGCAAGATGGTTTCTCCTGTCCCATCAACTCCGAAGGTGAAAATGACCCGTTCGCATTTGGGTGTGGACAAGCCCCTGAGGGTCATGGGTGTCAGCCCTGGGTGTCTGCCCTGAGTGTCAGCCCTGGGTGTCAGCTGTGGGTGTCAGCCCAAAACCAACGTGTGGAAGAGTCCTCTGGGACTGCCTTTCTCTCCCATTTACCAGAAACACGATTATCGATATAGCAGAAAGCTATCTATGAAGGTAAGCTTTCTCAAGGAGACTGATATCAAAGAAGGTTATTCATCCATCTTCCAAACGCATATGCAGAACGGGGGGGGGGGGGGGGGGGGAGCGCCTCCCATGCAATGTGGAACACAAGGAGTGGAAGACAGATGCCCTGCTGGGCGATGGGGGGGCATTCAGAGGGAAATATCTCATCTCTAGATCCTCTTTAGACAAACGTAGCTGCATCAAAAGTATCGCCATGCTTGGGGGTGGGGGGGCGTCAGAGGGGTATGGACACCCCGACAGATTCAGGAAGCCCAGCACTTAACAAGGGCCTTTGAAAATGTAAAATTTTCAGGGAGGGGGGTACTGTTTGGGCGATTTCTATTAGTAGAAACCAGCAAAATACAAAATACACGATACACTGAAGTACATACGGAAATTGAATTTTGCATGACCAGCATGATGCATACTGGTTTTAAACCAGCATATGTTGTGTTTTGGTGCTGGTGGACCAGCTTCATGAGCACTAATCAGCTCCGAACCAGCACTAACCAGCATAGACCACCCTGGAGATCACGCTGGTCTGCGCTGTTTTCTTCAGCAGGCCGCACTCCGCATTCTGCATCTCGGTGCGTCAGGGAGTCGTATTACTATTTCATGCCTGTCTCTGGGTTCCCCGCAGCCCTCCCATTGGCCGAAGACACGGCGTTCTGGAGCTGCCAGTGTCCTCCCCTGCGTGTAAGCAGCCCGCAGCAGAGCGGCATCCCGACTGCGGTAGTCCACACCGGATAGCTCCCACGAGGAATTTCTAATCAGCAAATTGCTATTAATGAGATGATGGATGGATGTTTACGACACTTAACACCACGCACATCAAAAACTATAGCTAATTACGTTGGCACATTAGTGATCTTTTGATGTCAGACTCTAATACCTGCATGCTAATACGCCTGCGGAGAAAAAAAAAAAAGAATCGCGGTTCTCATGTTTCCCAGTGGAGGTGATTTTCACCCCACTGACCCAGACGGTTACACCATTAGCCAGATGGACAACCAGCAGCAGTATCCCAGGGCCCTAGAGCGTCTCTCCATGGAGATCTTACACCAAACTGTTTACTGTATTTTTCTGCAGGGAGCGGCAACAGCGAACCCGTGAGGTCAGTCCCCGCCCGGCTCAGTTGCCGTTATAGTGATTCATAACTTCTGTACAAACTGGTGATTTTATTTTAAATCCCATTGATGGCAGCGTGGAAAGGAACTGGCTATATGCAGCGTGATTTTATCAGCAGGAGACAGGAACAGCGCATCTGCGCAGACGGGGTGTCTGGCTTTAAATTCATTAAGTGCTACTGCAGAATGAACAAGCCTCCCTGCGCATACGTATTCCTGCATGGGTTGCGGGAGAATGCGCTTTGCTTTCCAGCTCAGGAGGGGGGAGTCCTTGCTGTTCCCTTGAAATGCTCCCAGGTCCCTTGTCCGTACGTGATACTCTGTTACTGCTCCGCGGTGGGGGGGGGGGGGGGGTTGAACACCCTGTGGGCTTCCATATGCAAAATGTTTCATTCAGACCAACAAATCGCTAGGTGACTCTGACTAAGCAGCTTGGAAACAGGAGCTGCTCTCCAGGAAGGCTCTCTCTCTCAGTCTCACACACAGACACACGCACGCACACACACGCACACACACACACACACACTCACACACACGCACGCACACACACACACACACACACACACACACGCACACGTACGCACACACACTCACAGACACACACACGCAGGCACACGCACGCACACACACTCACAGACACACACATACACACATCAAATTACAACTTACATCAAATTAAACAATTTGATACATTTTACATAGATTTGTAAATCTTCAAACAATAACCTTCAAGTGCTTAACACCTTCAACATATTAAACATTCAGTTTTAGCCCCATCTTCTCTCCATTTAGACCTGGACACAGTTGATAGTTATCAGACTAGTATTAAGTACTCAGAATGCTCTGGTTTTGACCACAAATGACTAATTATTGTTCAATTTTGACTAAAAATAACACTAATTAAATGACATAACTTATTTTCACTATTTACATCATGTTTTTAGTACTTGGACTGCAGTATTTCTCAGTACTTCTCTCTTATTATTGTGCAGTTGAGAGTACATATTCTGATTGAGAAAACACCAAAAAACAAAACGCCGACATATTTTCAGTCATTTTATTCATTTTATAATGGCATGCATTTTATATTTTTTGTGCTTATTTTCATTTCTTGTGTTTTTTAGTTTTGTTCTCTTTTTAAAATGTCTGTAAATCAGTGGTGGCCATAGGTCTGGCTTTTGATTTCCCGCAGCATGGACACTGGGTTCTTGTTTAAAATCTCACTGATCTGATTTTCCGTAATGCTTTTTAAGAAAAGGGGGACTATAACGGTCTCATTTTAAAATGTCACAGCTCCAGAATCGTGCCGATGAATCGCGCGATATATGGACCACTGCAAACAGTTTTAGCTGCCCACATAGTTCCTCATTTGGAAGTTTCTGCTTCCTCACTTTTTATGAATATTTAAAACTAGTAATTCTGTGAAAAAGCTGCATGCACACACCCACGCATGCACACGCCCACGCATGCACACACCCACGCATGCAGCGCTTTCAGTTTCTTATGCTAAAGGACCTGCTAAAGATCCAAGCCACACGTTTCACACGCCGCATTTGTGCTGCTTCACCCTCACTGTGATAAATTCCCCTGTCTTCCAGAAAACAATAACATGAAGCACAACAGCCACGTCGTTCTGTTCAATCGGTTTTATTCTCTTTCCATTTTACAACCCAGTTTATTGTTTTTATACTCTTTTTACAACAAATTTCATATACCAAGAAAATTAGTAACTTTTTTCTGTTAGACTAAAAATAAATGTAAAAAAGGAAGCTGTTAATGACTGACTATTGGTTTGACAAAATAAAGGAGTGTTGCAAAGTTATCAATCCTGATGAAGAAAATAAAACATACACAACACAAAGATTTCAAGACATTTTAAGTATCTACTCATACGTCGGACATCCGTGTGGCTGGACTGTGGATGAGGGGAAGTCCCACAGGGAGAAAATGCTGCAAATCTACTGTGGCTATCACAATAAGGCATATGTTCACTATGGTCAATTTAATCCCCACTCAGGAGTGTAATTCTACTACATTACCCACAACCACCTGTGCTCAGATATCAGCCATCTTGGTTTCCGGGAGAAAGACAGTATGGCTTGGAAGTTCTGGCTGAGGAAAATTCTTTCGCTGGTGATAAATATGGACTTTGGCTTGGATTTACAGGGAAAGTATTTTTCTCCCAAAACTATCCGCTGCAAGCTCTCTCAGATCAATCCGGAGCATGATCAGCACCGTAGATCTACGGTTAGAATGTGAGACCCCCAATCCCTCTTCGTCTTCATCTTCTTCACCATGGCCCATGAATGGATACACAGCAGGTGAGCAACAACATCTCCTGAAACTACATTCATCCACAAAACAGCCAAAGGGATCCGTTTTTCTGAGCCATCAAAATGAGGGACAGAAATATCATTAAATATCATTAAATACTATTACATTTCTGCCTCTTGCAAACGTTTTTTTTTTATACACATGTAAAATGTCTATCTGTCATTATTTGCTTTATGTATGATGACATGCACAAACGCTTTTTTATCTTTAATTGTTTTACAGTCTGTTGACACACATACATAAACACACGGACTTTGTGACCGGCAGAGAGCTAGCTGAATTAGGGCCTCGTTTTTGGGCGTCATCACGGTAACGGGTAACGGAAGGGGGATCTGATCGGAACGTGGACCTGAAGAGGTCAAGGAGCTGGGGCGTCGGGGCTTTTCTAACCAGCAGAAAGGGGGTGAGAGGGTGGAGGGGGGCAGGGGGGGTCAATGACGGGGGGGGTGGGGGTGGGAGAGGAGAATTACAGGATGCGTAAGCCTGAGTGGGGGAGGCGAGGGGAGACGTCAAAATGGAAACAGAAACACATGCCACTGTTCAGCAGTGACTTCACATCCAACTGTGGGCCAGCTTAAGACGGCTGTGTTTCTTTAGAATTGATACAGTGATACAAGTATGAAAATATTTGTTCTTACTAGTAATAATCTGAGGAGTCTGACAGATTCGGGTGCCTATAGTCCTGCTGTGGAGTCTGAGCTGTGTACCACTAAAGCCCTTCCAGTCTCCGCCTTTTCCATGAATGGACACCCCTTTTTGGCCAGTTTTGACGTCATTTTGTAGTTCTCAGTCACTGGCACCGAGCGACGCCTCAGGGAGTCACAGAGCCAGACTCCGCCTGACAGACATGCAGTCGTTCTAACACTTCCTCAGATATGTGACGGTGGGAATTGCCAATATAACCCTGTTTAACATACGTAAACCCTCTTCTAACGTCCAGCTTCCTCTGAAAGCAAGGTAACCTGTCATTGAGGTAAATAAAGAATCAAAAAGAGACTATGAAAGACCCACCAGAAGCCATTCAAAATGGCCGACTGGCTGTCTCTCTGAGCACCTTTAACTTGTCACAGACCGACCCGCTTAAGAAAATAGCCACTCTCTGTGTGTTTGGAAGCAGGCGCCACATTTTTGGCAGCTTTGCCGGGAATATCGGACAGGAATCAAGTAAGTCGGGGGTGGGGGGTGTGTCAACTCACCCAATCAGACACCGGTGTAGAGGCGGAGCTGTTACTTCGGGAGGTGGGGTTAGGAAGCTTGCTGTCAGGAGGAGTGTGGACTCACCCAATCAGACACCGGTGTGGGCAGGTGTGATATGTCAGGGGGTGGGGTTAGGTCTTTGGGATGGAGCTGGAGTGGCGTGTTGCCACAGCATCAGTGAGGCTAAGTATCGTGTGGGGGAGGGGTTGGGGGCGAGTCGAAGCCAGGCGCCAGTCAGTGCTCGGAAAAAAGGGACTCAGAATATCTATCAGAGAGAGAGAGAGAAAAAAGAGAGAGAGAGATTGTGGAAAATTAATACTTATGGTTGCCAACCATTTCAGCTGAATGAAGTGGAAGAAGATGTTACATATATAAACGAAAACAAAGATAAGCATCTGCTCCAAATTCACATCGACCTAATGAGAAGATGATTGTTGTTGAGTTTTCACTGTACGATACACGTGTATTCCGAGTTCGCACAGCGAGGCCTGAAAAACATCCGCAGATGGATTAATGGATCAACCTGAGGTGCAAGGTTTAGACGTTTAGTAAATTTTTTTCGGTAGTAGGTATGACAGCTCTTAAAGTGAACAGTTGGCGTAGTTTCCATGAATTTTAGCGGAATGTTTTCTTTAGCTCGGATGAAAGAGGATTGAACTGGGCTGTATTCTGATGTATTTGCCCAAATCTGGGCCGATCTGCTCTTTGATGGGGGCCCTATGGCGCATCCCACCCCTTTGTCTCATTGACGTCAAGCCCTAACTCCCTCCTTGCCCCCCCCCCCATAAGGTTTATTTTTGAGTCAGTTTGCTGGTGAGTTGGGCCAAAAAGCTTGGCGATTTAGGCATGCTCCCCTCCCCCTCCTTGACCTTCTCCCCCTTGGTCAGCTCCAGTTCAATGGTCATCAGAACCCTGCCCCCCTTGGGTGACTGGCCTGCCCCCTGCTCCCCCTCAGGTTTTGGTTTCTGTTTCTGGGATTTGGACTGGTTTGGGCGGGGTTTCTCCAGGGCCACTAGCTCTCTGCTCCCCGAATCCTATTTCTTATCCTTGCGCGACTCCTGCTTCTTCTTTTCGGAGGCCGAGGCTTTCAGCTTGGACTGGTCCAGGGTGGCGTAGAGGACAGGGCCCTGGGGAGAGGAGCGGGGAAGACGGGGAGAGTCACATTAGGAGGAAAGGAAAGAGAAGGGGGGCGTTCTCCGGGGCTGTGGGGGGAAGGAGGAGGGAAGGGGACAAAACAGGGAGCCGTCAGTTAGAGAGCATGATGTGTCATGACCTCCGCGCCCATCAGCAGCAGGCACACGCGTGTGCCGGCATTGCTAACACGCCTTCCCACACATGGCGCACGCCTGACCCTCAGACCATCTCAACAAATATTTTCCATTTCCTTGCTCTCTATTTTAATTAACTCTGCAGTAGGCTCATTTTTATTGTTACAGTCAGTCCTGCTACGATGCGACTAATGTGTTCCTGAAAAACCTTACGTTCACTTAAATATCATACTAAATTATACATATCCAATGGGAAAAATTGGGCTAGGGGAATAAGATTCTAAAACTTAGTTAAACTTAAGTAAACAAAATTAATTAATTAATACACAGTGATACCAGTGGCCAATAATGTAATTATATGCATTTTTAATAAGATATAATAATAATACATTAATAAATTAGATCATTAACATCTCCTTTGGGTCTTATGAGTTTCAGGAGAATTGCCTAGAAACCACTTCAACCCAACATAACGAACTGGCTAACTTGTGATAGCCTAAACATTGTTTCATGAACCATCTGCTGTATTTTCTTGCCCCACTAGATGGTGCTCTTGGTTTACTTTTGGGCATCCTTTGAGCTCTTTTTTTGAACAAAGGGCACCATCTAGTGGAGTCAGAAAGTACAGCAAATGGTTCATGAAACGTCATTTTGGCTATCGTAAGTCGGCAATGCACAGCACAAGTATAACGCATTACTGTATGCATAGGGGCACTGAGGCAAGATGGCTTCAGACAGTCTATGAAAAGCAAATGCAAGTGAATTGAAAAAGGTTGCTGTGTGCTTATTTTATGATAATTTGCCAAATATTTTTAGATTTTTTACAATCTAAGACTTTGACCCATGCAATGACGTGGATGTACAAAAAGTTTGGTTATTTTAGATTTGAGAAGCAGTTCGAGCACTTCACTGAAAAGAATCAGTTCGAAAAACCAATTTGTTCACAAATCGGACATCACTATCATTCACTTGAATAGCTGTTTTTGAGTGTAAGTAGTGTTTCTCACTAAGACCACATCGCTTTATAGTTTGTGTAGTGCTTTTCTCTCCAACTGAAAATCGCACATATGCAAATGCAAGTCCGTGTTTTTTTGGACTTGGGTACTAATATATCAGTCGCGTTATAATGAATTTGCAGTGTGATATCATGCGTTGTGGCAAGACTGACTGTATTTTAATCTCATTTATTCTTATTTTTTGTTTTTCTGGTAATGCCGTACCGGATGGGGCACAAATAATGTAGTATTACGCTATTACTTATGTAGGCCTATTAATTAACCAGAAAATAAGTCTTATTTACATACTAATCTCATATTAATTCATCATTGTCTCAAGCAGCAACTATATTTGTTCATGATTTGTACTTCAGTAGTAACTGAGTTATTACTAAGTATTTGTGCCCCGTTAAGTGAAATGTTATCGTTTTCCTTTGCACTACGTACTTCCCTTCAAGCATAGTCCTGGCAGCAGCTGGAACAGCATTTCACTGCACAGATATACAGTGTATTTTTCAGTATATGACAAATCCTAAACATTTCAACCTTCTGCCCATTCTGAGTCTGATCTTTAAAATCAGTCCAGCAATGAATGAAATCTTCAAAGGGCTTTTACTAGTTATTTTGTACATCGTTTAATATTATTTCAATGGACTGGCATTACATGAAACCGTCGACACACATTTTCTAAGGAGAACACATTTGTTTGTGTGGTCTGAGTTGTCAAAGCCCCTCCTAAGATAATTCCAGCACTCTGTCACTAAGACAGCTAATCCCAGTGGCTAGATACTGAAGCGGCTGGGGATTTTTCCCAAATTATAAAATTTCTCCATTATTACTGTAGCATCATTCTGTAATACTAAGTCGTGAGGACAGAAAGAGCGAAGGAATCGAGGCTGGGAGAAAAAACAGCCGCAGAAAAAGGGGGGAGGGAGAGAAGGAGGTCTGGGGAATGGGAAAGAAGAGAGAGAGGAGGAGGGACTCTGGTTGGGGAAGGAAAGTTACGGCACTCCAGGACATTACCACTGTTCATTCAGCAATAACGGAAAGGAAGGCCCCTCTACGCCTCCCCAGGGAATGCTGGGTACACTGTGGCAGAGCAAACAACATTTGCGGACCAATGCACAACGGTATTATATCGCTCTACGCAGTTCACCTGTGGAGAAAGAGGAAGACTTCCCTGTGTCCTGGAGGAACAAAACAGAGGACAGATGGGGAGAGGAAGAGAAATTGGAGCTGATTAAATGTGTACAGGAGAGGAGGGCAAAGAGGTTAGTCTGGGTAGATACTGAGATAGGAATAATGACATCTGTTATACCTGACCTCTGACCCGGAAGTAAACCCTTGACCCTGCAACCCGTGGCCAACCACCAAATCACTCAGTATTTTATATTCATGCAAAAACTCAATACTACTGTGAGTCTACATTGGTTTGTTATCACTTAAAAATAAGTAATTTACTTATGTTTGCATTTCATGCTCCTTGCATCATGAATAATTTTTGTTCAGTACGTTGCAACGGTTTTCAACCAATATTGAAGGGGGGCTTACCGAAGACAGGAATATTAAAGCTTAGATACGCATGCGATCGTGCGTGCTAGGGGGTCACTCGCCCTGCTCTATTTTCATTTAGGGGGGTCCTGCTTTACGCAGAGCTGAACCCCCCCTCCCCTCCATTATATTACGTTGAGCTTATTAATGCTGAAGTATTCCACCAGTTTTTCACCCGGATTTGGAACATTAAAAATAAATCCAGTGATTAATCATTTTCATGGACAGTCATCCAGAGAGGAATGCCAAGTTCACAATAATCAAGTTTGGTCCACTCCCATATTGTCGTGCCAGACTGGCTCACACTGAATGTAAGGGAAATTGCAAACAGTCTTTTCGGAAAGTGCATGTCAACAATGAACCATTAATCTTTGTTCATACATCTGCCCCCCAGGATGTTGTACTCATATTTGCAAGTAACAAAGTAAATGTATATAAATACTGCGCTTTTATAGCCTTTATTTAATTTCATTTACCGTGTTTTTGGTGTTTGGTGACTTAAGTGATGGCTAAAATTTGAAAACTGAACAACATGGAGCCCTGAATATTCATTCATATACGACACAGCGAGCAGTTTCTCTAGACTTTACTTTTCTGTAGGAATCAGGTACCCAGAGTGTTTTTTACTCTCAAGACCATCGAGACGGTGTGACAACAAACATAAAGCAGAAATCCTGTGTTACTGTGGGCTACCTATCCAGAACCTTCTCTCTTTTTTGATTTCACAAGAAGTTTGGACTCTGGACTTTGCGGTTCATACACTAATATGTAATAACATTGATACATTTGTGAAATTAGCTTTGCATAGAGGAGCAAGGAAGGGCAAAGTAGCCGCTTCAACCTGTTCTAACATATGTACTTCATCAAATGAAGCCCTGGATATGAACTGTGTGCTTTAACACAGTGCTTCTCAACGCAGTCCTTGGGGACTCCACCAGACCACATTTTTGCTTCCTCCGCGGTCTCAATACACCTGTATCAGGTATTCAGTGTTCTTGATTGGCTGGGAGCTGGGAGGGAGCAAAAACGTGGACTGTCTTGGGGTCCCCCGGGGACTGGGTTCAGAAACACTTGTAACATAGTCTTGGCTCTGATCATGTGATGACATGTGACTGCATGCAGATACACTGAGATGTGAAAAGTTAGCTAAATGTAGCAGTGTCTCTGATGTTTGGGCTGAGTCCGTACTACCAGGTCGTCTGAAGGATTAAGGGGTTTTAGGCACCTTCTGCCCCATTTCATTTTGCCTTAATTTGTAATCTGTACGGCGGATTGACACTGACCTGCCTCTGTTGAGATCCCTCTTTACCTTTCCCTTTCTTCCCGTGTTTGCTGCAGGAGATAAGAAATGAAGGGTGTTAGCCATCTAGTGGTCGATGGCGGAATGGCAGCCGAGAAGCACCACGCTGGATCGATTTGTCAATCCATTGCTATGAGGAACCTAGGCCAGGTTGTAGACTGAAGGTGTTGTCATGGAAATACAGGGATGGGTTCAGGGCTACCTTATTTAGAATGATTAGACACCATAACGCTAATAACACATGCAATATAAAAACCATCAGATTAAAAAAAAAAAAAAAAAAACCATCGTTAATTTAGGTATGCACGGTAAATTAAAAGTAGCCTGAATAGTATTATGGACTGCATACTGCAAAAAAAGACTTTTAATTTCGGTATTACGACTATACGTCCCATGAGACAGAGGTAATTTAGATTAACTTCACAAATCGAAGATAATTTATTGCTACAAAACTTCATTAAAACGTTATTCGGAAGAGCAAGTTATTCTCCGACAGGATTCGCCGCGGCTTTATAAAGCCGCAGGATTCAAGTAATGACGGAGTACAGTGTTTGGGAACTTGATGCTTTTAGAAAAGTCCTGCTGGCAATAGAAAGACAGATCTCCGCGACACGGCTTTATCTGGCTGGGGGATTTACGTCAGAACACCCCTCCATGTAGAAATCATTCGCAGCAGCCCAGCAGATCCGTGACACATACGTAGTATCTCGAGACTTTTCAATAAATGCCGAATATGAAAGTGTGTCAGGCCGAGTAAAATTGTAAAGGAGTTAGAGAAAGATAAAGGGATATATGGGTTTGGACAGGGGAAGGAATGAGAGGCGGGAGAATCCCGGTACACACCTGACACTGAGGTTGAAGACACGCCGAGCCACAAGGAACCTCATTAAATAGTAGATCACCACGATCAGCACCAGAAGGCCCAGAACGGCCCCAATGATGGCCCCAGTGATAACACCGGCTTGGACAGGCACTGACAGAAAAGCAGAGAAGGGCGTGTTATTTGAGCCCACCCCCACAGGTAAGATCGGCACTTTTTGGTTACACACGTTGCCATGGTAAACAAAGCATTATTATAACTATATAAAGCAAGGAGTGCACGGGGGGGATTACGCAGAGAGACCAGCCTTACAATTCTCAAAAACCAGCAGGCGGACGCTGGAGGGGCGGCCCACTATGTCGGGGGGGTTCTTGGCGTCGCAGGTGAAGGTTCCGTTGTCACTGAAGTCCAGGTTCTTGATAAGGATTGAACCGTCTCGTCTGCCTGGGTTCCCAACGAATTCCAGCCTGTCCCGGAACGGGCCCTTGTTATCCACATAGGGGGCGCCACCGGTGAAGTGGAAAATCTGAAAGACGAGAAAACGGGACGAGCGCCAGGCAATTAATTCTAACCTCATGAATTTCATCAGCTGTCAATAAGCGCTGGTTTGGGGAGCAGTTTGCATAAAAGACGAAGGGAGCGGTGACTTTGATAGGGGGCCATGCATAAATGAAGACGTACGGAGATGCTGTCACGGGAGCCGTCGGGCCGGTAGCTCCAGGAGAAAGTCACGTCTTCGGAGGTCCAGCGCCATGAGAAAAACGAGCAGGACAGCCGGACGTCCGAGCCGACCAGGGCGTGGCGCTCCCAGCCCGTGTAGATGACGATAGCCTGGCACTGCGGGGCTACCGAAATAGCAGGAATAATAAAAGTAGGTGCATTAGTGATAGGCTACGGGCGCTCCCTTATACTCGCATTTAATGTCAGTTAAATCATATAGGTTGACGCCTCGTTTTTCATAACGTCGTTTTAAAAACATTTTTTAAGCATGAGCTTCAAGGTGGTTCTTGCACTTTCTGGCGCACTTTATTCTCGATATAGCTTAAAAAGTTTTGGCAGGTGAACAGGTACCGATTGGAGTGCGCGTTTTTTGTGGAGGCGTTCGAATACATCAAAGCTGGCAGCAGTAATGAGGCGAGACAAAAATAACTGCAAACCAAGTCTAATTCGTGAAATTAAGAAAATGTAATTGGGTGCAAGGTATTAACTGTGGCTCTTCACTGCAGAAGTGGGGAAATGTGCAGTGCATGTCCACATGTTGTTTTCCTTTTTTCAACCGTGATGCATAAACATGACCTCAAACAGGAAAAAAAAATACTGAGAGCTCTAATAGAATCGCTTATAATTCCCCTTTGGATTGGTTTTAGCCTATTGTTTAAATTGTGATTTTAAATTATCCAGTTAAATTGATCCTTATTAAATCGTGTAAGACATTTTGTATTGCCTCTGTGTATAAAATTTGCTATATAAATATTTTTGCCTACACTTATATAAAAACCCTGTCCTTTCATTTATCTAAAAAACAAGCACATACAAACATTATTTCTTATAATTTTAGTGTAAAGTCACTTCAGGGTTAAGTGTAATATGGCATATTTACATAAACATGAGTTCATTCCTTTGCAAATTGCAGCGCAATTATTGTACAATCATGCAAACAATATGACTCAATTGATATTACTTCAAATGTTTCTAAATAAAGTGATCTCATATTTTACATTCACCATATTTGATAGAAGATTCTCTTAGACTACTTTGAACTGCTTTTTCAAATATTAAAATCATAAGCCAAGTTAACAAAAGTCTGGTTTTAGTGTATTAATTTTCTGTGCAGATCTTACTAAAAAAAGAACAGAAGATATACTATAGAATAAATTCTAGCAGTATACGTTTCCTCTTTCAGACCCAAATCCATTGGCTTTAGTTGATTTGAGAGAGACACGTACGCTTTGTGAGCCTGTATAAATACAGTAGTGTTTATTTGTGCTTTATTTCATGTGTGATATTAGCAATACAGCCAGGCTAACAAGAAAGCACAGTTGTGTCTTAATTAGAGCCGAGGACAGTGCTCACGATAAGTTACGGTGCTGTGCCGTCAGCAATGACTACTTAGAGAGGAGTAACGAGCTAAATTTATAATGGTAAGAGACTCCCTGCAGTCTTGCAGACATAGGTGTGACTGTGATATAGTCAGTAACGAATATAACACATCTGACGTCCGGGATGGCTATGTGTTAGCCTGACTTTGATTCGCAAAGTATATGCATAACAGTACCTGTGCCGGGTGAAGGTGTGATCTGCTAAAAGCTTCCCGTGGTGAACACGGTCTACTGTAGGTTTTAATCTGCAGCTTTTCCTATACGGCCCTGAGATAACAGCTATCACCTTCCACATCAATCATAGGAAAAACGGCAGTAATAATATAAGATCTACGGAAATGTCGTCAACAAAGCAAAGACGATAATGGAAAACCATTCATAATGCTGAACACATAACCCCCCTAATACAGGCCCTTTTGCGGAATAGAGTCAGAGTCATATGCTATTTATACACAAAATAACATAATTAAATGTATCATACACTTGTGTTTTTCTGACGACTGTTGAATTATGCCTTTAATCTCCAAATAAGGAAAGAGAACATTTAAATTCCCTTAGCATCACTATAAGGCGACCGCGGGCGTTATTCTGTCAGGCTACTGAACCGCAGAACGTCATTAGTTTTCGCTTCTTTCGAGACGGCCGTTCGGTTTCCATGACAACACAACTTAATTCTACTATACTGTCAGATCTTGGCCTGTGTTACGCTTGTGTGTGTGTTACACTGCCAAATATTTAATGTGAATAAGAAGAGACAATATCATTTAGAGTACTGGTCTTCAAACAAACCATAAAGTCCCCGTTATCGAAAACAAATGCTCTACTGTAGCTTTAACCGTGGCAGTCACAAATTATGGCTAAATATGCACCATGTAATCACAGTACGCACAGTAAAGATATTGCCAGAACTTCAAGGTAAAACACTAATTTCTTATGTCCGCATGTGTATCCTGTGTATATTAGTGTTGTATGTTGTCTTGCTTACGTTTCATTATGTAAGTTTACGTATCGTTACGCAAAGTTCAAGTTAATTCTGAAAAGCCAGGAGCGATTTTTGGCAGCTGTAGTCGAAATTCCCAGGGGTCGCTCTGTTATGGAGGATAACTTGCTCAAGCAGAGATATAAAACATTATTTGCTTATTAGCAACTAAATGAATACATATCCATCCATCCATCCATCCGTGGTGATAAACACATATAAAATACATTCCTGTATACACATAGTGATTTACTTTTGATTCCTTGGAATAGAACCGTTAGTGCAAAAACTTCAATAAATTATAAATAGTTAGTTATTAATTAGTAATGGCAGCGCTTGAAGATGTGAACACCTGAGCACCCAGTATCATGCACCTTGCCAAGCACTTATGCCGGATGTTACTGAGTCATCGCGGACAGGGAAGCTGGATACCAACATGTCAGAGTTAAGCGTAACTTTGGAGAAGTTTTACCTCAAAGACAGGTTCAGCTCGGGGCTGAAGGCTGCATGCGTTACAGATAGTGTTACAGCATTTGCCTCTATGAAGAAGTTCGGAGATGGAAAAGAAGATTCACTGGATGAGAAGAGAGATTGGGGAATACGTTACCTATCCCTACTAGTGCGATGGACGCCAAAGCCAAAAATGCTAACATGCTGGGTTCTTCTGCACGACGCAGTCAAGGTGCCTCCGCTTGAGGGTAGAAGGGTGACTCAGTCCCTCCGTGAGCCGAAGGTGTGTCCTGCTGGAGAGGGTGATGTTCAGGGTGTGAAGACCAAGGGCTTCCAGGCAGGACACCTCTGTGCCCGGGTTTATACCCAGCCACACCCTCTGCTGTGACTTGCCCCCCCCCCCCCGCCCACCCCTCCCCCCTCCCCTCGTGGCCCCCTCTTCTTGAGACTCAAACACGGGCTTCACACGGACAAATAATCAAGAGCGCAAACAGTAATTGATCACAAGAAAAGTGAAAGCAGCACAAACACATGATGTCCAAGTGGGATGGGGGGGAACAAATGGAAAAAAATATATCGAGTTGAAAATTAGCAGCAAAAACAGTACATTCAGGCAAGAGGTAGGATGAATAGAATGACAGACTGCCGGCAGACCAGCCATTTACACTGGCAGTATGATTATTACATTCGAACCCCAGGCACTGCGACAGACCCTCGCCCTGTAAGGTGTAAGGCCTGCTTAATGCTCCAGATGCAGCCATATTCTGCCTCTGAGGTCCTGCAAGTGGACTCGGGAATAGTGCAATGTACAGTATCCATTAATTAGCCGTACGGCTCATTTGGGACAGAGGCAGAGTGCAATAATACAATAATACGCGGGATAGCCGTTAATGTGCGGAGAAATGCCGAAGGTGCAACACTGCAAGCAGCTGAATATACCCAGTGTTATGTAAATATTACAGTTTGGCTGCAGTGTGGGGGGTGTTACAGGAATGTAAAAGTTGAATCTTGGAGCGGGGTCACCCCGCCCCCCGCGTCCCCAGCCACAGTCGTCCCATTTGTCCTCAGCTCGCTCTTTCCCCGGCATGAGCCGAGGGCCAAAACAATGGGCCCATCTCTTCCTTCCCCTCTCTCCCTCCCTCCCTCTCTCCTTCTCCTCCCTCGCTCCGGATTCCTGTCGCTTGCCGATGTCTCTCCGCAAACAATGGAGAGAGGGGGACTGGGGGACGCCTGATGCGTCTCTGTCCCTCTCGCCCTGTCAATGGGCCTTTCATCCGGCCCCCCCAACCCCTCCTGCTTTCTGACACGGAGACAATGGCGCCCTTTCTCGCCCCTCCCTCTGCCACGCTCCCACTCCCTTCATTCCTGCAGCCGGAGAGAAGGATGAGGGACGGGGGGGGGGGGCTATAAATAGGTAGGTTGATGGAAGGCCGACCGTGATGCAGCCCAGCATTACGGCATACCTTGGCAGGGACACCAGCGGCCGATGGCCCCCGGGGGACCAGCACCGACTGACACCTGTGACCAGCCTTAACGGGCCAATTATGATGCCCCCCCCCCCTCGTTAAGTCAATTACAAGAAGTTTCAAGGAGCCCAGCATCCCAGGAACATCACTGGAGATTAATGAACAAGGGTGCCAAGACTTCTGCATTAATAATTTAATGAAAATGAATGGGAACACCATTTAAGCTTTTTAGTGTACATTTTCTTGGCGAGGGGGGGGGGGGTAAAGAGCCACCCAGCAATGCCCCTGATTAGAATTATAGAGGCGAAATGAAAAACACAAGAGGACAGGGGCAGACACACGCAGCCGTTGCGGATTCATGTCTGCATGTTGGTGCCCTTGTCAGTGTGCAGCAGACAGCCTGCACCTGCGCTGATAAAGAGGCTGAACTCGGCCAGAATCGAAATTCTCCAGCTCACCTGGGGGACATCCGCCTGACCCCCGGCGGCAGAGCGGCCGGCCGCGCAGAGAGAGGGGCCAGCGGGAGCTGTGAGAAGCGGAGTGGCGGCGTTTTAAACTGGCCTTTCCTTTGCGGAGGTTTTCCAGAATGATCTCTGGGGAGTAACTCAACCAGGGTCTTATCCAAATACATAAAAGAGCCACAAAACACATTTGAAGTCACATTCACTGCACCCCCCCCCCCCAACACCGTCTCTTTTATTTCCCTTCTGTGATGTCCAAATAGCAAGGTGCAACCTGCCCAATTTACCCCAAGCCAAAGATAAACGTGTCGCCTTTCACGCTGAGTATTCTCTCATTATAGGACCCAGGAGACAGCAGTTTTGTCTGGACACATATGTAGGGAATGTTGGAGAAGAGAAAAAGGTTGGAAACTTTCTCATTTATTTCCAGAAAAGAACAAACGCAGGGGCGCCGTGAATAGGCTGAGCGTCGGACTCGGTGCGGCCAGGCAGCAAGATAACCAAACAATTTAGCAAATCCGTGGCGTCTAGCGGAGCGAAATAAAGCTGAGCGTGTAGGGGACTCGCGGGCTGGAGCTGCAAGCATAAAATAAACCTGCAAATCAAAAAAGAGACTCGTAATTTTCAGTAAATCAATGTGAAAACGGGGCCTAATCACGTTAATACAGGAAGTTAATGACCGACCTCACTTCCTGTAAGCTAAAAGACTAATGAGTCATTGTGATGCTTTCTGATATCTCTTTGAAAATTACCGTGATCAAGTTATGCTGCTGTTGAATAGGGAATCAATCATCAGTGTGCGGATGGTGATGCACACGTATCGCAGGCCAAAGAGCCTCGGTAAAAGCTGCTTGGTATTCAAGTGCTCAGTCAATAGTGAGCACAATGGCCATGCCGTGGGTTTGCACCGGGACAAAGGGGAGCGCTGTCTCTCTCGCCCCTGCCTCTCTCTCCCTCCCTCCCTCTCTCTCCCTGGCATGGCAGAGATGTCACAGAACGCTCCAAAGCAGGGATGAAGAGATGGAGGCGGGAGATGCGCAGGAAGAAAAACAAACACATTGTTGCAGCCTGAGAGGGGGCCATTGTTCACAGGGTGGAGGGGCGGGGGCGGGGGAACACCGGCGAGAGGCGTCCATCAGCCCAAATATCTGCCTGCGGTTCTGAGTCGATTGGCCCGATAAAGTCCCGGACCCCATAGACGCATGGGACAGATACACAGGTATGCTGAGATGGAGCGGAGGACAGTCCAACTGCTCAGCCACTCTGTTGTGGGTGCAAGACCCGAGACGGACTCCCCTCGGCACGGAATGCACACCCCACAAAAAACGGGCTTCCGTGTGTAATGCAGGAGAGATCAACCGGCAAACCAAGCTGCAAACTGAGCTGCTCCAGCTTCGCCGTCTGCCAGCCTTCAAAAGAATCACACTCTCCCATGACCAAGAGTCCAAACTATTCAGATGAGCTGAAGTTTCCTCTCATTTTTTATTAAAATCAATGGAGTCGATTCATCTCTAGATCTGATTAATGACGTGGTGGGAAAATACAATCCGGAAAGATGAGGAAATGCGGGAAAAAGGAGAGCAAAAGGGGAAGACGGCAGGACCATAATATTTTCCATCTACAGCTTCCCAAACAGGCGCAAAAGTCACAAAAGCGCTATTCTGCTGACCTCTCCCCACCTCCCCCCCCCCCAACCGCAGGAAAACAATCCTCTCAGCACAAAGCCCACGTACTTCACACACCAACCGCTCAGAATGGGAGCACACGTGTCAGAGAGGGTATGTGGTGACTGAATGCCCCCCAGCAACACGTGCACACGTATTCCGGCCTCCCACTACAGCAAAACATCTGAGATGAGGCTGGGGGGGGCGCTCAGCGTGGCCTGTACACTCACCCTGTGCTTGTACCACCGCCCAGGCCCAGGCGGGAGGCGTGACTGTTCTTGGGGGGTGCTCGGGTGAACACTGCCAGTCGACACTGTGTACACCACAGGTTTTTACCATTTATTATTTTACCATTTATTTCATAAACTGCAGATTCTTTATTCTTGTGACGCATTGGAAAGTTGAGTCAACTATAAATTAAAATGTCAAATAAAACAAGTTCCCTTTATAACATGGAAAGAGTAACAGTGCGTGTCTGACATCCTATTAACTGGTGTGGTGATGGCAGAGTCAGATTCTAGGCTGTCCTTTAACTTTAAACGCACTAGTTAACCATTTCATCCCATGAAACAGAGCAGTATGTAATGTCCCGTGTAGAAAGGATGCCTCACATTTTCTCTGCTGTTATAACTGCAAGGGGAGGTTACTTTGATGAATCAATGAAATTACATTTTCTTGCTGTTAAAGGTACTCAGACGGCGAACATAATTTTTTTGCTAACAAACTTACAGTAAGTATTTTTAGTAAATATTAAGTGAGTGACATGCAAATGTGCACAGATTTTTTTGACTGGTATTACTGTGCTGCAGAGATGCAGGACACAGCCAGGAAGTGTGACTATTCACAAGGAGCACTCTGGTGTATCCGTGTGCCGCATGGGTGTGCTGGAGAGATGCAGGACACGGCCAGGAAGTGTGACTATTCACAAGGAGTGCTCTGGTGTATCCGTGTGCCGCATGGGTGTGCTG